TGATCATGTAAGTGAAAATATCCATAGTATTGAGACTACGTTGTTTTCTTGCGATAATCAAAATGGCGAAGAAACTATAATGACCCAAATTAAATGTTTAGTCGCTGCGTAGATATTGATATATTTTTTTTTTCAAAAATAAAAAAAATATATATCAATATCTCGCAAAACAGTTCATGACTTTATTTACATTCATGTCTTTTATTTTAAATTTCCCGATAAAGTAGTTTAGTATTAGGGTTAATATATATCCGAACTATTTATCGCCGATATAATTATGACCAAATACTGGGAATTTGGGTACCCCATATTAGATTTCTTAAATAACGATTATCTTGTAATTTATCAAGTTAAACTGATTTTTATTTGCATGTTTTTATAAACACGCATCATTCCAGATACAGAGAAGATCTTATGAATTATAGAGAAAAAACTATGAATAAACATTGACCTCTCCCAAGGTGGGCTGTACTGTAACTGAAGTACTACTGCAAGTTATGCCCACATCATCTCTCAATATGATATGACTGGATTCTTTAACGAGCTGATGACTACTTTATGCAGTTGGCCTATAATAATATAGTTGATATTTTATTGCACATTAAAATACATTTCAGTGGTGTGTCCAACATGCAGAGCATGTCTAGCAGGCTATTAACAAGGGAGTCAAAACATTATAATTTTAAATTAAAATATTGTGTTCTGTCAAATTTGTTCCGGAATGTTATTTTTAAAATTTCCAGGGCTGGGAATCAAAACTGCGTCGTATCCTACAAAATGTAAACAAACGCCGCCATCTTGGAGTGAAAAATGTATGTTTTTGTTTATAACTCTTTTTGTTGGAAATGACTGAAAACAAGATATATGTATTAACACGCTACACTATTTTCCGCTTCGTTCGGTATATGTTGCTTGCACAACTATTTTGTAAAACAAAAGTTATAGCGAACTTGCAACTCGAAGCGGGGCAGAATTTTTATGAAAATGTGTGGATACGACGCAGTTCATATTGCTTTATCTATCGTTTTTTCCTTCAAATCAATTATATACCCGTTTTTAGAGTTCAACATAAACTTCAAAACATAATTTTGCATCATTTACTAAAATTTCATTTAAAAGAGATGTTTATTTTCCAAGAAAATAATGATTTTTACGAAATGATACGACGCAGTTGAAAATAAAATATGATACGACGCAGTTGTATTTTCATTGCAGGCTGAATATTGGTTAAACTATCTAAATTATGTGCTAGGTATTGTAATAACGTCCAACAACATTTCTTGTTTACAACTTAAGTCAAAAGCAGAGGTCACTCATTGGTTTCATTAAAATGGAAATGTAATACAATTCTATTAAGGCTGCATTTTTCGGTCGCATTTTAGTACTAATCATAAGCATCTACAGATTCTGAAAAGCTGTATCAAATGCAATATACATTGAAACACGTGATCGCACAACCATATAACAACGTGTTCTAGTGTTGCCTTAGCATGCTTATAAACTTGTTCCCTGAGTTCGAAATTGAAGTGATTACTATTTTTGATACAAAATTCAATATTCCAGTGTAACCTCTCCTGGACCCTGTATTAATCAGGAATGGCCTTTTTTTAAAAAAAAAAGAGAAAGAATTACAAATTTTGAAAAGGTCCCTCGCTATGGGGAATGCGCAAATTGCATGCCTACCTTTGTTACTTGAAATTAGCAATAATTTCCGTCAATTCCTTTATTACTTAATATGTCTTTTACGTGCCGATTTTATTGTATTCGTTTTCTTAATAATCGATGAGAACAGATGAGCTTTATTATTTGAAACTGAACATTAAATTTTTAAAATTATATTATAAATGGTTAAGCTACAATATATTTTTGCAAGTAGGTTATGCGTTCCGTTTAGTCATTTTATGTTCAGCGCCGCGGAACTTTACCCCCGATTTTGTCGTATTGCGTTTCTTTATCGCCGATGAGGAAAGGTCTACGGAATGTATTTTCTATATTTGCACTTAAGAATCATACTTCTCCATCATTTTCAAAATGGAGTTACATATGATACAACTACAAATTATTTTGTAAAAAGTGTCCGTTTTGCAAAGGTGTTTTACGCTATGCACCGATAAATTTGATACAGATATATAATAGGCAGACATGATCTTTCAACAGTATTGAAGAATTATTAAGTTTTCACAATATTGAACAGAAAATTTAGGTCAGATTATCGTATCGAATTTTCAACAGACTAGAGACATGACATCTTAACATACCTTCATACTAAAGTGTGATTTTTATTTGATAATGAATAGCCTGAAAACTTAAACAAAAGTTTTCAGAAAATGACTTCACAGAGGATTACCCCCTGTTTACATTGAAAATTTCTCTGCTAGTCATACCGAAATAAGAAATTTAAATTTTATTCTCTTCATAATTAATTCAAATACATGTATTTATAATCTTAAAACTTCAGGCCAGGAGTTAATAAAAAGCTGCTTATTTGTACAGCTGACGTTAACAAATTTTGTTGAAAAAACAAATCAGACAGGTGTGTCCGACCGAGGCCGAGCTGTTTATGTTTACTGAATTCAAATCACTTGAACTGAACTGCTATGAATTCGAAAACCACCAGGGACTTTTTATTCTTTCGTGTGGAAAACCTATCAAGCTAGTTTCAAAATGTCGATGGTTCTCTGCAGGTACAACATTTTGCCTGAAATAATGCACAAAGGCGCGCCTGAGGTCCTCGCCCCTAGTAAAGCTAAGTAGAGTGAAAGTTTGAAAAGAAACCACAAAAAAGCAGTCATTACCCAGAACATGCAGAACCACAGTTAACTTAGAGCGTAGCTAGCCAAAATGATTTCAAGTTAATAGATTTCTACATTTTTTTTTGCGAAAAAAAAATAGGGATAATATTGAACATACAGGAAAATATAAGAAATTATTTCAGATATTATGATCAATAAGGTAACATGTTCATGTTTAACTGAAAGTAGCTTCCGCAATGTAAACTTTCAAATTAAATGTTATATTGGACATGACACATTGTATTCTAAATAATCAAAAGCAACAGAACATTGCTATACACCGCAAATGATCTGGGGGGTTTTATCTAGCGCAAGTGATTATTCCATAAAATAGAAGTATATTGCCAAAATTATCCCTGTTGAAAAGACTGCCAAAAATACAACTGCGTCGTATCATATTTTATTTTCAACTGCGTCGTATCATTTCGTAAAAATCATTATTTTCTTAGAAAATAAACATCTCTTTTTAATGAAATTTTAGTAAATGATGCAAAATTAAATTTCGAAGTTTATGGTGAACTCTGAAACAAATATATAATAGATTTGAAGGAAAAAAACGATAGATAAAGCAATATGAACTGCGTCGTATCCACACATTTTCATAAAAATTCTGCCCCGCTTCGAGTTGCAAGTTCGCTATAACTTTTGTTTTACAAAATAGTTGTGCAAGCAACATATACCGAACGAAGCGGAAAATAGTGTAGCGTGTTAATACATATATCTTGTTTTCAGTCATTTCCAACAAAAAGAGTTATAAACAAAAACATACGTTTTTGTTCCAAGATGGCGGCGTTTGTTTACATTTTGTAGGATACGACGCAGTTTTGATTCCCAGCCCTGATTTCGAAAAAGAATGACCCTCGGCAAAAATAATCACAACAAAACTACTTGAAAAGTTAGGCTCGGTTTGATTGAGTCTCTACATTTCGGATAATGAAAATGTACATCATCTCACTCTAGCACCGCCTTGTGCGGTAATAAATTTGCAACTGGAATCTTTTACTGGAATCAATTATCTCGAAGGACCACACTGAAGTGAAGTAAGGGGCAACTTTTAACAACTGCCATTCGGCACTTGACACCTAACTATTAATAGGTAAAAGAATCTTGAAGATTTATTGCTCGATAACGAACGTTTAATCTTTACAATTGTGACACAAAAAAATTATACATTGACATTTAACGTCTGTTCCTAAAACATTTGTTATAAACATATCAAACAGACATCATAATGGCCAGTTAAGATTGCTCTATAGTATTTTTCAGTGTAACATTTGTCAGGAAATGTTTAAGATCTTTCATTTGCTCCTTTGTATTGCATATTTTTTAAAGGACCTGGACATTGTGATGATAATTGTTTGAAAAAGGGCTGATCATTCATTAGAATAAGAACTTCTAGTATTTCATCAAGAATTATTGTCACGTTGGTTGCATTTGCTTGTTTGCCGAAGTTTCTGTGTACTGTAATATTTTACTTTGTTATAACTTTATAATTACAATACGTACAATATGTTAAATCGCCTTTCTAATGCTCGAATAGAGTGAAACAGAATCCATTAGAAAACCAAAGACGACAAACTTGAAAATGTTGCAGACTCGGTATGATTGAGCCTGAACATGTACGGTACAGGAAAGTGCAAGTTACGGTCCATGCTCATAGCACCGACTTAAGAAAAATACAACATTTTAATATGGTGATGGTGTAATTTGCAATTTAGAAACATCCACAGATGTATTCATACGGCGATTATCATGGAACCTTCAATGAGACATATGAGTGTCGTTCCATGAAAAGTGGCGTATGGCCCCCAAGTAAACAAATGTGTATGCCTTAAACGAGAAAACAATAGGCGAAACTAAATAAGATGAAATTTTGAGAGGTGATCGGAGGTAATGGAGCCTGTATATCACAGAAACGCTGTCAAAAGACAAATTTAAACAGCAAGCCACATATCCTATGGGTGATTATACAGTAACCAAATAAGAAATACTGGAGAAAGAGCCAAATATATCATCTCTGACTGTATGTACGGGGCGACGTTTAACGGCCTCCACACGGCACAAACAACCCTGATGTGGAGATAAAATAGAGTGAAAAAGAATCCTAAAAGAAAGCCGAAACTTGTTTTGGTTTGTCATTATCATTCAACTGTTATAACGTGTCTACGTTGTTTTGGATTTGATCGTGTGAACGTTTGTCCCTTTATCTTTGGGCTTTATTTTTCATATCTCTGAATGATAATTCATTCGGCGCTCTTTATGATATAAAGCCTGTTGGCCGCGTTTCAAGTTTGAACTATGAGAATACCTTGATGCAGATGTTGTTGGAAGTGAAGACTGAAGTGGCATTACTGACGAAAGAAATAAAGGAACTAAAGGAGACTAAACAGGGTAAGCACAAAATCATTTCATGCGCTATTTTTTGTGTGAACCCACAAAGGCATTACTTCTGTTGATTTTATTCTAAATCACAAGTCCCATTCTTTGTTAAGAGAAGGAAATGCCCATCTGAATCAGACAACTAAAATAAGTTTAACTGCTATCATACTTTTCCATACAAACATGCTTTGGCAGTAAATTGTATATAAAAGGTTATCATATTGTCACACAGATAAACAGAGTACTGTGGGAAGTGAATAGTTTGAAAGATTAAAAATGTCTTTAGACTGTCAATCATTTCATGTAAGGAGTGAAAATAGATCTTGAAATTTTACATGAAATAAATAAGATGCACAAATGTTTATAATTATAACGTGTGGTCTTAGTAATTAAATAGAGGATATTTGTGAGTTTTGCATGTAAAATTGAAATATGATTTCACTGAGTGAACACCAAATGCAAATATTTTCACGAGTGGCGTAGCCACAAGTGAAAATATAATAGCTGGTGTTCACGAATGAAATATATTTCAATCTTATATGTAAAACAAATAAACTTTTTTTTATTTCATGCTTTTTAAGTGATTTTAAGTATTTTTTTACTGATTTTGCCGCGTAACGTCGCGCATTCTCCTTTGTGACGTCATCACATCATGACGTCACATCATTAATTTTGAAATATAGTTCTGTTAAATTTCTCTAATTTTGTTACATTTTTAACATAATGTATGGTGACTTCGACTTTCTTTTCCTAAAGAAGCAAAATTTACGCATGACAGCATTTATTTCTGCCTGTTATTCCATTTAGTTATGATTTTCTTTTCATCCACATTCAGATATAGTCCAGCTACAGTGGAAATTATATTTTATAAATTTCACTAGTGGTTTATCAGAATATAATCATCTGATATATTACAATAAAACACTGGAAAGCATGACATAAAAACACATATTTTCAATTAAGCAAACATGTTTATTCGTTTCCGTCATGGAAATTACATTTCAATTGTGTTTTAAGCTAATAAACATTTAAATTTGCCTTTCCTTTTTATTTCACTTTTTTAAAGAAAGTGCAACTACTTCAATAACTATGACTCTTACAAGTGTCCCATTTCAATTCGGAATTCCCAATCTTGATAATGTTTTGAGGAATTTGCTTCAGACTTGAAATACTTATACATGTAAAACCATTTATGTATTATTAAATAAAAGTGCTCGAGGCAATAAATTTTGTGTAATTGTTCACTATATTCGACACAGATTTTTTGGGAATTCTTTTTGCCTGGGTCAATGTTTTTTTCAAAATGTATCAAGGGAATTCCCTTCAGATGTGTACTTTTCAGTTAATTACTTATCAATCATCAAAATCATACCCCGTTTGAAAAAAGTGAATAACATTACTGCAATGCACCCTTTAACAAATAACAAACATTTACAAAGCTTTAGGTTTCATTAAAGTCGATAAGATGATGCGAATGAAACGACTGCTTTGTTACTTGGAAGGTCAACACATTTTAATTTTAAACCCAAACTAAAGCCAAAACATATTTTTTCCGCCACCTGTCAAATATTTCTCATATTTTCCACCTTCACGACTACACAATGTAGTTGTTTTGGGCCAAATGCTGCTGTATCGAAACCTTTGTTGAAATATGCCTTATAAATTAAATTAAATTAAATAAAAACTGAAAAATTAATTCCCCCCAATGAATTACCGGTGTATAAAATTTTAATTTAAAACGTAGTTATACATTTGTAACTAAATAATTGTTCTTTATTGCTTTGCTTTAAAAATTCCTTAATTCCCATTATTTGAATGTATCTTATTTTCCATTTTTGTTAGATGGAATCAGAACTAATTACAGCATTTCTACAACGAACATGGAGAAGACTTTGCTTGAATTGAAGAGTGATGTTGCTGCACAGGCCACAGAAATTGATGAACTAAAACAAAGCGGTATTTAAACCTCAAAATTATGATTAATGGAACATAACAAACAATGATGAGACAAAATCAAATCTAAATTCTAACAGTCGATATGTAATATAAACGGCATCTTATTTACATGTACTTGAATACTATTTACAATATAATGTCCTGAATATATATAATGATACACTAAACTTGTCATTATGAAAATTCGATTTTTTTTAGATTTTGAGGCTGTATCAATTAGGTTGATACATCAAAACAACCCTGACACTTCAGAAGACATTGCTACGTGTGATTCACAAATACTTGAATTTTGTGCTATTTCCTTATACATAAATAAATGACTGGACAAATATTCTATAGATGAAAGTCGTAAAATAAAAATTAATATCAAAAAGAGACAAAAATTCATATTAAAATGAGAAATGTGTTTTCTCATTGCTTTCCTTGCTTTGATTCTTTTTCGTTCGAACTATGCGCCGATTTTAACAAAATAGCATGAATGTGTCGCATTGAAGGTTTCTTGATAACCGTTGGATATTTCTAAATTCAAAATTTCACCTTTTGTTTAAATGTCAAATCATTTAAAAGCTGTGTAAATTGTCGATTTAACATTTTGAAACATTTATAAATGTTGAATTTACATTGGTGTTTTAATCATTTTATAACAATGAAAAGAAAAAATAGTGTAGAATGCTTATTTCAGACCATCAATCAGTAGCATTTATGGCACAGCTATCTAAAATTCTGGTAAATCCACCACAACACACGGTCGTGATATTTGATTCGGTTTTGACAAATGTTGGAGGCGCTTACAAACCGAGTTCTGGAATGTTCCTTGCACCTGTTAACGGAACATACACGATACATCTTGTTGCAAGTTCAACACCAAAGACAACATCTGAATATGTAAGTTCTATTTATATTTATTAAAATCGCATGACAGACAAACCTATGCACAATATAATATAACATACTACATGTATTATATACACTGCGGCCTAGTTTTTCATATACATTTAACGTTTACTGTATGCTTACCTCAATTTTACTGCTTTTACTGAGCGTCCAGGCCGCAATTTAATGAGCCCATTGTACGATTTTGGTCACGTGATCATCCGCAGTGATATAATCGTTCAGCACATTATTGGCTTGAAGCCATCTGTTTTGGAAAAGTTGTTCCGGTAAGGTGGTTTCCTGCTTACATTTGTTAGTGCATGATTGAACGGGAAACCAGCTGCAATCATGCCAATCGCAACTTTTCGGCCCTTTCCGTCACTTTTCGGATTAATGATAATAGCCGATGTAGTTCCGATTGCAATCGTGACAATTCGGGTTATTCGGTCATACTGCGGAATCAGACGAAGTAATATTACGGAAATCTAAGCTATTTTAGTTAATTCGGTTATATAAATAGGATTTCTATTTTTACTTGATTTTATCGGTTTAAACCGTAATAAATTATAAACGAAATTGTTCCGTTTCAATTCTTTTTCAAGACGCAAAAGTTAGTTTCTTTTATAATTGTTTTTTGTTTGTATTAGTTTTATACAATAGAGACTGGTTACTGTAGTAGTATTCCGTCTCCAAAGGGTGGTCCTGCTTACCAAATCACACAGAACATTAGTGCATGATCGAGTTATATTTAGATCTACTGAACGCGGTGAGGTAATCTAAAAATAGCCCATGCATATCATAAACCTTACCACGTGCTGATCTACAGATATCGCATCGTATCTGTGATCGTGTAACATAGTTGATACATGCTTATTAATTGGTACCACGTAACGAAGTATTTTATTGCATTTACTTGTCTATAAAGCTGCTATATAAATGAAATTAGCAACTGCCAAACGAATGATTTCTCTGCGAAAAAAGTGGAACACTTGTTTCCCGTCAGTATGATAGATAGATCTCCACGTTAGTATTTTTACGATTGATTAGTTTCTTTATTAGTTTATACAATAGAGAATAGATTTCAAATCGTTTTGACAAAAAAATATTCGTTTTTACAAAATAAAAACTAAATAAACAAATACCGTAATTCAAAAAAATTGTGATAATAAATTGAAACAAAAAAACAATTTTAAAGGGTTGGGATGAAGGCACAACTGAGCAAGCCTTTCCTTTTAAAAGGAAACTTTATTTGTAATTTATTTTTTCCATCGATATTGTTATAGATAGTGGGTGTAGTCCAAATTTTTAATGAGTTGTATTAACAAAATGTTTTAAACTTCGATCCGTGCTTTTTTGTTCTTCTCTACATATTTCGGATAATACGTATATCGTTCAATATTTTACGCTATCTTCTTTCAGCTTCATTTGTATATCATGCACAACATGCTGAAAGTTGGTTACATTTTCTTGGACCAAAATTCTGATCGCTGGCTTATGCGATCCACAGCTATTGTCGTCCAACTACGTGCCGGTAACACCGTATTTGTTAAAATTGGAAACACAAACCCGAAAGGAACGCTCGCGGGTTCTGACTTTCATACAGTCTTCAGTGGTTTTCTGATCAAATGAATTTGCTTTAAAAAAACGGATATTGTCAAATTGAAATTCATCAACATTCCCTTCCATTCTACTTTACATCTCTATAATGAAACTGTATTTTCACGATCTAATTATGTTTAGGTATCTTTTGCACATTATGAATAAGCGCAATAATATCCCAGTGACACCAGATAATAAAATAACTTAGTTTTCTGCTTTATTAAAAACAGGTTTGGAAGCAACTTTGCTATAATTGTGAAGTAATTCTGATTATACATTACTTGCTTTATCTTTTATTTCAAGATTACACTATACATAAAATACATAATCTACAACTATCTACAGAAAATCTATAAAGCTTCTAAAAGAATACATGTATATCATAATGAACAACCCGAATAAAGGCTGGAAAGGGATATTGTCTTATGTTGTTTTTAACTTCCGCATATAAAATGATATTTGCCATTGAAACCCATGCAAATTAGGGCTGTAACTGCTGTAACTAATAACTTTAACTTTTGTGAGGTTTAAATGAGAAAGTATAGAACCTATGTTGAACCTATGCTCGTGTAGTATTCATATATACATGTATGTAAATGTGAATAAAACAAATTATGTTGATGAATGACGAAGTGTAAAGCTGATGTATATAAAGCTGGTGGAGATGTACGTAAAATGTATTGCATTTGTCAAAATTTATGTAACACTCAGTTAAGTAATCAGAGTGTGGATATTAATAACATTTTATAAACGTTTATACCATTGTAAGACACACACAGCTAAAATTAATAGTACAATGTTTGAAAGTAATCGCTTTGACCCGTTGACATTTTCAGATTCAATCTTTATCACGGTAGGACATTCTTCCGGTGCATTTTCTTCAAGAATAAGTTCTTTATCACAAGAATCAAGTGCAGCATAAAATTTCATTATAGCGAGCACATCTGGTGATTCCTTTTCAATGTTTAATCTAGCCCAGTCGTCAACAGTGCCTAAAATGAGCAAAGTGAGCAAAGAACAATTGAAATCACATACCATACATATCCTTTACAGCCATTAATGTAATAGAAACTTCTTTATTTTCAAAGTCTTATATAGAATTACTTTGTGTTTATGTTTTTCAATGGGAAGATAATTCAAACAAGGCAGAAAATGTATGTCAGAAAACAAGTCAAGTTAAAGATGGTAGGCAAAATGCATTGTAATCACTGCTTGAAAGAATTAAAAAACCTTATTCATTTCCATTTTTTTTCCTTTGAAGTTCTAAATAATATGGAAACTTTTTAAATTTCAGAAAAGTTTCAGATCAAATTCCAATACAAACATGCTCATCCTATAAAGGGACACCTACCTTTTCTATAGCAGGAAGACTGTTTAAGCCTTCTAGCCACAGGCAGACATTCTTTCCTGCATCCAATATGCGGTGAACAATTTTCCATCACGAGGTCATACGTTGCTTTCATGCTTGGCTTGCTTAAATCGTGTAGGTCATTAAAATAACAGCCATGTATGACGTCACTGATATTGAACGCGCAAAGTGTGACATCTTTCCATGCCGTGCATGATGGATCAGGAATATTTTCTACATTTAAAAATACAAAGATTATGATTGAACTATAAATGTTTAATGAATAACAAAAACAGTTATCAAATTTATAAAAAAAAAAAACGTTTTAAGTCTATATCAATAATACAGACCAACGCCTTACATCAAGAAGATAAAAATCATATCGCTATATACTCGTATTTCATCTTTTAAGGTTATTTTATTCACTCCAGCCACAGTACGGATGAGAAACGTAATAGATTGAATTGGGTTAAAGCTATAAAACTTGACAGCATGTAATAAGTCAATACAAAATGTGTTCTGTAAAGGGGCCTAAATTATATTTATTCACCGGCTTCTGAAGTTCATTTCTAGTGTCACGCCGTTCCGTTTTGTCACGTCAAACTAGGGTTTACTATTCAATTAATATGTGTGATGATTCTGCAGACCTTTATTTGTAGATATACAATAACACAAGAATCTTTTGCATGTTTAACTTTTAGGCTTTTACTCCTCAAAGTAGACTATTATATTATATATTAATACAATGGTTGCTGTTGTTTCAACGTGTCTTTTACACCATTTTTCTTTAACAGAACGTTTGAAACGCAACACACCAGACATCGTGATAAAATGCGAAAAAACTACGTACAACCTAATTGGTGACAAAATATGGCCAATATCCCACAAAGCAATACGTTTTGGGCAAAAGGGTTGCTGTGTCAGTCGGGGACAAAGTGTTTACGTACAATTGTTCGAGTTACAGCTAGTTAAAAGTTGTGTTGTATATATGTCTGCATTAAGGAAAGGCCCATGAATAAAAAATACCTTTAGGGTAATAGGTTATAAACCCGTAGCACATTTCGTCGTAAGTACCATCGCCCCAAAATGTTGTTGTTGTTCTCGACATAGAGTTAAAGTTACATTCCGTCTTTAGCTCATCGCCAGGCTTCAGGATTAATGGCGTTTCGTATCTGTTAATATTTATACCATCCTTATTATATATTTAATCTTTTGAATGCATTCTCGAAGTTTCATTTTCATACATTTGATCTATTACAAAATGTTAAAATTAAGTGCCTAACAAGAAAGAAAAGTACAAACAATTTGCCTCTACAGCCAATGATCTTGCAAATAAAAGGTAACCAAAAATATCTATGATTTACAAAAATATCCTCAACTATCATTGAGAACAATCTCTCGTCGATTCCCTACAGGGGAGAGAAAAACAATAACATTTGGAATACTCACTATGTAATTCGGGAGTGTTGTAGTCATATTTCGGATCATATGTAATATCTTGTATTTTCCTACCATCACGTATAAGTTCTACCTTTTGAGATACACCTTTAAGTATATAAAATCAAACTGCCTATGTAAGTTATACTTTAAGCATTGTTATATATTAAGTTTACTTTTCATACATTCAAAATGATTAAAATTGTTTCTTTATTAATAAATAAACTATGCTCAAAATTGTTATCAGGAAATATTGATAAATGTAATTGCTTCATAGTCTATACATATAAAATAAATGTGTTTTGACTTTACACACAGTCTATATGTTATGTTTAAAACATACTATGGATATGAATATAAAGTGTCATTAAAAAAACTGGCAGGACTTTTAAGAAAGGGCCAATTTTACCTGACCTTTGATAAGGAACGCAGCTTCCCATACGTAGCTTATTCATTTTTATACAAATAAGACATTTTCTGTAAGAATTTCATAGATTTCAATAAATTTCTGATTATACTTTTCTGGATGATGATCATAGTATATTGTACATCTTTAATTACAGAAATGTGCAATTTTTTTGTACATTTTGTCAGCAGAAGAAGTGTGTCTTGGATATATATCGTGGTTCTAAAAGACGAACTCGTGGTGTGTAAGCTAAGAGTACAATGGCCTTGTACTGGTACTTTTACATGTGGTTTACTTTCCATGGGTTATAAATTTCAACTCTTTTTATGTAAAACCAATTTGACCTAAATGACAGTAAAATCAGACATTTTGTAGGATTTTTTAAATCGAAGAGAGACTCTTATGTAATTTTAAATTCACACAGTCTTAAATTTGCGCAAAAGTGATAAAAACCTTGTTTGAAAATCTGGTCACGGTGTGATCCCTCGGAAATATTAATCGTAACAAAGTTTTATGAAAGTTGCAATCGGTTTGATTGGGTCAGTGCATGAGGGATAATAAAGAGGTTCAATATCCCTCAGAATCCTTAGCACCGGCTTAAGCGGTACTCTAAATTTGATATTTAAAAATGGTGCTTTGTCTTGGAAAAAATCTTTGATTTTTGTACACAAGAGCTGTCACAAACTATGGTTCTTTCTATTCCATTAGGCTGTTTGTTTCTTGCCATTTGCGAGGAAATGTTTAAGATCTTTCATTTGTTCTTTTGTATAGCATGTTATTGAAAGTGACTTTGTGATGAATACATAGGAATGAACATTAGTTAGACAATTACCTTTTAATATTTCTTCAAGAACTGTTGGCACGTTGAATGCATTTGCTTTGTTTGCCGATATTGATATTTCTGTGTACTATAATATTTTACTTTCTTATAACTTTAAAATCACGAGCACAATCTATCTATTGAATCTTCTTTCGAAAACTTGTTTTGGTTTGTCATCATCATACAACTGTTAAAGCTTGTCCATGATCTTTGGAGTTTTTTCCTTTGAACGTGGTGTCCTTTCCGTGCATTACCATGTGGGTGAGATTCAATGGTATTCATACACTGCATAGAAAGTTTATGAAAGGAAAAGAAAGTTGGTTTGCATTTATCATTCCATTTAGATATATTAGCAGTACCATAAGGTTAATTACTTGTTTAACTTCAATGGCATGTGTAAAATTACTCTTGCCAGAAGGGCAATAATTCAATGTGTACTTGTTAAATAGAAAGCTCGCGTAATTACTTCCCATAAATGATAAAAATCAAGACAGGGCAATATATAGGCTTAACAAGTTTAAGCATTTCCAAAAATGATAGGACTTGCCGTTCAGCCTAGTATTCAAGCCTACATACTGCGTAAGAGCTTCGTACATAGATATCATAGTATATAAAGATAGTATTTGATCCATAACCAAATGCGGACCATACAAATTTTGACAACTAAAATGTGACGTAATCTGATGTAATGTTACGCTACACTAAAATATGCACCCATGTGATTTATGGTATCACAGCCAAGTGCCTATTGTATATAACACATATGCACCCTGCTAATTAATTTTTACGACCCGGTGGCGCTTATATATACACATCTATTTATTTTTCGTTCTTTCAGGCATATTTATAAAATTTTATCATTCACTGGTTCTTTGAAACAAAAAATTTCATGGCATAAAAAGAATCAGTAGGTGATGACAGAATGCATTCTGCGATTGTTCTATTAAAGCTTAAAAAGCTAACAATTATAAAAAAAACGTTGGCAATCCTGTTATCATGTCTTTCACAAATACGCCGGAATTTTCTAAATGACAGAAAGTAACCACACAGAAAACTAGAAAATATTCATTTAAATTTATATTAGGTAATTTCAGTGTGTACGGGTGTTTATAAAATATTAAAATTTGATTTAGTGTCAGTAGCTTTTTTCATGGCAGTAGAGAAAATCTAATAAATATATTCTCTTTGAATTTCCGCTGTTTACCCCGTAGCGAGAATTAATCTCAATTTATGTTTTTGTAATTTTTCTTGTGATTTTGCTTAATATTGAACTAATGTATGTATAAGTGATGTTTTTCATGTTATAATCATAATTGTACGATCAGTATTTACGCATTTTACTTTTCAATAAGCTTACAATTCTACGCGGTCTGAATAGTATAATTCCCACATTTACATAACATCCGGTGAGGTAAGTAATTTTTCCCTGACTTTTATTGCTTATATGAAAGGGTCTATGCAGCGACAACAACAAAAATCAATTTCAATCACTGTATTAACATGAACATGGGGTACATGTTATGCTCGTATTTAAATTATCTTATGATAATTAGAACGACCGATTCTTTTTTAATTATTGCTTATATAATAATTAAAACATTAAGCAATAGTTAGTAGATGTGTATGGTTAAAATGGAAAAAAATCCTTCTTATTGATTAATGACAAGCACTTTTGACAGGGTACGAAAATTTGTCCCATACAAATATTATTTCACAAAAGGCTGTAGATGTTAATGTATATTCGAATGTAAAATTTACATATTTTAGTTCTACTATATTATCTTTTTACAAATAACGAAATATGTAATATCAGAATTTTGTTTTATTTTTTCCTTGTTTTCTACACATGTCTAAAGAATAACCTTGGTCATGACACAGCATATCTGAAAGATAAATTCAGACCAAAGATGAGTATCATCACATGTCTTTCTTTACAGCAACTGTATCAATTGTCCACATCTATCTTTCAAAAACAGTTTTTCTTCCATGTCGATTGTTTTTCAAGACAAATATCTCAAAAGGATTACATAGTTTATAACAGCTTAAGGTACTCCATCTATTTTTGCAAACACATTTAGTTTGAAAACTTGCAAAATATCACTTTTGGTATTAATACATTTCAGGAACAATCACTTATAAATGAAACTAGGAGTAGATACATGACAAATTGAAATTGGCATCATTATTTTGTTATTATCTTGAAATTAATTAAAACTGTATTTTATTGTTTTTAACATATAAAAAGACAACATGAATGTTCATTAACATTTGGTGTAAGTAAGTAATGTAGAGTAATAATTCTTTGACACTGCACTTCCTGCCACAAATTTCTGAAATTATGTGAATTCCCTTAACCCAAAGGATCAAAGTTAAAAGATCTTCGGAAGTATGTTTCTTTAAAATATGAAAAACATCGGTAAATGGATGAATGTTTTAAATGTTAAGCAAAAATGTAACAAGAGTTATACAAGTCATTCTTTGACATTGCACTTCCTGTCACAAATCCCTGAAAGTTTCAATGATGTATAAGTTATACTCCGGACAAGCATTATTTTTATAGTTATAAGTATCATAAACGTAGATAATTCAAAACTTTAAGGTAGAAAATAAGGTAGAGTTATGGTCCTTTGTCACTGTATGTTCTCTTTATAATGTGTAGTTTCAATGTGATACCATTAATTGTTAAGAAGTCATTCTCCGGACAAGTATTTTTAACTGAAGAGATGTAATGAAAGTTAGCAAGGTATCATTATAAATTTTAAGCACTAAAATTTCTCTCAATGGTCGCTGTCACTGTTTGAAGTTGAAATTCAATTTCTTTAATACTTTCCCGGATAGACGAGTGTGACAGACGAACGGAATGACGGACGGACAAGGTGAAGACTATATGCTCTCCCGTCGGGAAGTATAAAATGCAATCATGCAGACTTTGTTGGAACACAAGATCGATGTTGGTTCAATGGCTAAAGAAAGAAGCGAACTACTAGAAAAAGGTCATTACGGATATAATTGTCTAAACATTTACATGTATATACAATTCGTATCTTTGCGACATTTGCTTTTGTTTGCAAAACGTTTGGTTTTGAATAATTGTATTGTAAACTGTTTTACAAAGGTGGTCATTTCAAAATAATATCTTATTGTATATCAAATCATTGGTGAAGCAAATAGATAAATATTGTATACGCAAAATACTATGCTTGTGTTTTATTTAAATGATATACTTTTGATATATTTGTTTCATATTTACCCAATTGAAATGTAAAATACGATCAAAGTTAAAAAGTAGAGATTGGCCCAATATATATACCTCGCCACGCAAAGTAATTTTATGTAATATTTAATCTATATTATATAATATATTATTAGTTATAAAGATGTATGACAACGATATAAACGTTTGTTTTCCACACGAGCCCTTAGTTGAGGGTTATATTGCATATAAACAATCCTTATTAAAAGCAGCTCCTAAATAAAAATACGTTTCGTTATGATTACAAAAAGATTCTTAAGTAAATATTTTGGTGGAAAAAACTGTTAAAAATTTCATGAAAGGAACAAAACAACATATTAACCACGTTAAACAAAGTCATAAGCCTAAAAAATGTTTAAAACTTCCTTTTTGTATTCATGTTAACATCCAATTTCTACAGTTTTATCTAGATCAAGATATTTTAAAACTCAAAAATAATAAATGAATTTAGACTGAAGATCAGTATCATCAGTTGCCTTTCTTTTAAGCAATTGTATGAATAGTTCAAAATATTCTTTCAACAGTAGTATATCTTCCTTTGTGTATTGTCTTTACTGACAATTTTCATCAAAAGAAGACGCAGATTAAAAACTTCTTAAGGTATTTCCTTCCATATTCAATTAAAGAAAACAAAAGATCGCCCAAAACAACAAAATTGTAATGTTGCAGGCTCGCTCCGATTGAGCGTTGTTCATGGACGGCACAAGTCTGAAAACTTTAAATGAATGTACAATATTAAAGGATTAATACTATTTAGTTGTTATGAAAGAAAATATCTGCACAAATTATTAATTGTAACCCAATTAGATAAATTGAAATTGACAAACTATCAGTTGTGCTTGCGCTCTACAAAACCTCTTGCAAACTAACTTGCATGTTTTAGATCTTTAACAAAAAAAAACGTTATTTAATATTCAAATAAATTATCTGAATCGTACCAAAGTATGCAGGAAAAGTTGAATACTTCTAACTTTTAATATGTCGAATTCCAAGAAACTTTCGCGATACAAAATGTCTCGTTTTCGCGGTGTGAGACTTTTACGCAACAATAGCAACCGCGAATTTTGCAAATATTCAGTCGTCTTAATAAAGATTATTATAAAGTAAATTCTATACTCGTGAGAAACCAGTATAACATACGATACTGACAAAAGTGTTCTGTAAACATTAAGTACGTCCAAGGTTTGACATTTATTTAGATTGTACCTATCAACAGTGAATGTTTTATAATGTTTGACATAATTTATACATACGGGAAATATAAAAGTATATAGGCAGCATGTGTGAATATACAACAATCATTAGTCTTTGAAAATATCACCAGTTTAAGTTAACAATCTTAACTATGAAGCAAGCTCTAAACAAATACTAAAACCCAAGATTTTCATTGAACATTACAATACTTTACGTTAAAAAAGAAATATTACATAAAGGCGCTTCCATACTAAAGTATATATCTATCTTATATTCATTTTAAGACAAGGTTAACATTATATAACCAAAGAGTGTGCAAGGAAAGGTTAAACATTATTAAATTTTCTTTTGTTTTTACATATACGAATTCAGTTCCAAAAATAATGTTTTCATTAAGAATTGTTCAAGGATTTAATCTTTGGGCTTTATTTCTCATTTCTCTGAATGATAATTCATTCGGCGCTCTTTATGATATCAAGCCTGTTGGTCGCGTTTCAAGTTTGGACTACGAGAATACCTTGATGCAGCTTTTGTTGGAAGTGAAGACTGAAGTGTCATAACTGACAAAAGAAATAAAGGAATTGAAGGAGACTAAACAGGGTAAGTACAAACTCATTTCATGTGCTACTTTTAGTGTGAACCCACAAACGCATAACTTCTGTTAATTTTATTTAAACCTAATTACAAGTCCAAGTTTTGTTAAGACAAGGAAAATCCCATCGAGAATCAGACAACTGGAATATGTTTAACTGCAATCATACTTTGCAATAATGCGATACAAACATGCTTTGGCAGAAAATTGTAAAAAAAGGCTCTCATATTGACACACAGATAAACAGAGTACTGTGTGAAGTGAATACTGTAGTTTAAAAGATTAAATATGTCTTTAGACTTTCAATCATTTCATGTAAAGAGTGAAAAATAGATCTTGAAATATTACATGAAATAAATCATATGCTCAAATTTTTATAACTATAACGTGTGGTCTTAGCTATTAAAAACACATATTTTCAATTGAGCAAACATTTTTATTCGTTTGCGTCATGGTATTTACATAACAATTGTGTTTTAAGCTTTTGCCTTTTTATTTCACTTGTTTAAAAGAAAGTGCAACTACTTCAATGACTTTGACTCTTGCTATGCCATAACCATAATGTTAACAAAAGCATCCAATTTCAATTCGGAATTCCCAATCTTTGTAATGTTTTGAGGATTTTTTTGTATAGGTAAATAGTCGATAAGGGATTTAAAGTCGGTAAGATGATGCGAAGGGCGCGATTGCTTTGTTACTTTGAAGGTCAATATATTTTAATTTCGAACCCAAACTAAAGCCAAAGCATATTTTCCCACCACCTGTAAAATATTTCTAATATTTTCCACCTTCACAACTACAAAATGTAGTTGTTTTGAGCCAAGTGCTGCTGTATTGAAACCTTTGTTTAAACATGCCTTATAAATTAAATTAAAAAAAAAACTGAAAAATTAATTCCCCCGGTGAATAAAGTTCTAATTTAAAAAGTCGTTATACATTTGTTACTAAATATTTATTCTTTATTGCTTTGCTATAAAAATTCCTTAATTCCAATTATTTGAATGAATCTTATTTTTAATTTTTGTTAGATGGAATCAGAACCAATTACAGCATTTCTACAACGAACATTGACAAGACTTTGCTTGAATTGAAGAGCGATGTGGCTACACAGGCCACAGAAATTGATAAACTAAAACAAAGCGGTATTTAAACCTCAAAATTATTATTAATCGAACATAACAAACAGTGATGAGACAAAATCAAATCTAAATTTTAAGAGTCGATATGTAATGTAAACGGAATCTTGTTTACATGTACTTGAATACTATTTGCAATATAATGTCCTAAATATATTGATACACTAAACCTGTCATTATGAAAATTCGTATTTTTTATAGATTTTGAGGCTGTATCAATTAGAATGATACATTAAAACAACCCTGACACTTCAAAAGACTTTGCTACATGTGATTCACAAATACTTGAATTTTGTGCTATTTTCTTATTCATAAATAAATGACTAAAAAAATGTCATATAGATGAAAGTCGTAAAATAAAAATAAATATCAAGAACAGACAAGAAATTCATATTGAAACGAGCAATGTGTTTTCTCATTGCTTTCCTTGCTTTGATTGTTTAGAGGACACGCATTCCTTTTCGTTCGAACTATGCGCCGATTTTAATAAAATAGCATGGATGTGTCACATTGAAGGTTTCTTGATAACTGTTGTATGTTTCTTAATTCAAAATTACACCTTTTGTTTAAATGTCAAATTCTTTAAAAGCTGTGTAAACTGTCGATTTAATATTTTGAAACGTTTATAATTGTTGAATGCTTATGTAAAATGTGCTTTGGAATTTTAATAATTTTGTTAAGGAGTAAAAAGGTATAATACTGTAGAATGCTTATTTCAGACCATCAAACGGTAGCATTTATGGCACAGCTATCTAAAGATCTGGTGAATCCACCACAACACACGGTCGTGGTATTTGATTCGGTTTTGACATTATATTGGGGGTGCTTACAAACCGAGTTCTGGAGTGTTCCTCGCACCTGTTAACGGAACATACACGATACATCTTGTTGCAAGTTCAACACCAAAGACAACATCTGAATATGTAAGTTCTATTCATATTTATTAAAATCTCATGACAGACAAACATATGTACAATATAATATAACGTACTACATGTATAATATACACTGTGGCCTAGTTTTACATATAGATTTACCGTTAACTGTATGCTTACCTCAATTTTACTGCTTTTACTGAGCGTCCAGGCCGCCATTTAATGAGCCCATTGTACGATTTTGGTCACGTGATCATCCGTAGTGATATACTAGTAATCGTTCAGCACAATATTTGTAATTTATTTTTTCCATCAATATTGTAATAGATAGTGGGTGTAGTCCAGGTTTTTAATGTATTGTATTAACAAACTGTTGTGCTTTTTTGTTCTTTTCTACATATTTCGGATAATACGTATACCGTTCAATATTTTACGCTATCTTCTTTCAGCTTCATTTGTACATCATGCACAACATGCTGAAAGTTGGTTACATTTTCTTGGACCAAAATTCTGATCGCTGGATTATGCAATCCGCGGCTATTGTCGTCCAACTACGTGCCGGTGACACCGTATTTGTTAAAATTTGAAACACAAACCCGAAAGGAACGCTCGCGGGTTCTAACTTTCAAACAGTCTTCAGTGGTTTTCTGATCAAATGAATGTGCTTTGAAAATAAACTGTCTACGGATATTGTCAAATTGAAATTCATCACATTCCCTCTCATTCTACGTTACATCTCTATAATGAAACTGTATTTTCACGATCTAATTATGTTTAGGTATCTTTTCCACATTATGAATAAGCGTAATGATATCCCAGTGACACTAGATAGTAAAATAAGTTTTCTGCTTTATTAAAAACAGGTTTGGAAGCAACTTTGCTAAAATTTTGAAGTAATTCTGATAATACATTACTTGCTTTATCTTTTATTTCAAGATTACACTATACATAAAATACATAATCTACAACTATCTACAGAAAATCTATAAAACTTCTAAAAGAATACATGTATATCATAATGAACAACCCGAATAAAGGCTGGAAAGGGATATTGTCTTATGTTGTTTATAACTTCCGCTTATAAAATGATATTTGCCATTGAAACCCATGCAAATTAGGACTGTAACTAATAACTTGAACTTTTGTGAGGTTTAGAACCTATGTGGAACCTTTGCTCGTGTAGTATTCATATATACATGTATGTAAATGTGAATAAAACAAATTATGTTGATGAATGACGAAGTGTAAAGCTGATTTATATAAAGTTGGTGGAGATGTACGTAAAATGTATTACATTTGTAAAAATTTATGTAACACTCAGTTAAGTAATCAAAGTGTGGATATTAATAACATTTTATAAACGTTTTAACCATTGTAAGACACACACAGCTAAAATAAATAGTGCAATGTTTGGAAGTAATCGCTTTGACCCGTTGACATTTTCAGATTCAATCTTTATCACTGTAGGACATTCCTCCGGCGCATTTTCTTCAAGAATAAGTTCTTTATCACAAGAATCGAGTGCAGCATAAAATTTCATAATAGCGAGCACATCTGGTGATTCCTTTTCAATATTTAATCGAGCCCAGTCGTCAACTGTGCCTAAAAACGCAATGAACATTTGATATCACATATATATCTAAATTACTTTCAAAGTCATTAAAGTGAAAGAAACGTGTTCATTTTCAAAGTCTTGAATAAAAGTGTTTTATGTTCATGTCTTTTTCAATAGACAGATGATTTAAACAAGGCAGAAAACGGATGTCAGGAAACAAACAAGTCATGTTAATGATGGTAGTCAAACTGCATTGTAATCCCTGCTTGAAAGAATTTAAAAACCTTATTTATTTTTCATTTTTTCTTTTGAAAATCGCTACACATGCATTACTTTAGCAACGTAATTTGGAATATAGATTGTAATATAATATAAATATCTATTTTATTTGTTTAGTAGATTTATATTTCATTTGTTTTTGGTTTTACATAAAAATTCTGAAAATATGGAAACTTTTTGAATTTCAGAAAAGTTTCAGATCAAATTCCAATACAAAAATGTCCATCGTATTAAGGGACACCTACCTTTTCTATAGCAGGAAGACTGTTTAAGTCTTCTAGCCACAGGCAGACATTCTTTCCTGCATCCGATATGCGGTGAACAATTTTCCATCACGAGGTCATACGTTGCTTTCATGCTTGGCTTGCTTATATCGTGTAGGTCATTAAAATGACAGCCATGTATAACGTCGCTGATATTGAACGCACAAAGTGTGACATCTTTCCATGCCGTGCATGATGGATCAGGAATATTTTCTACAATTAAAAATACACAGGAAGCAAAGATAATAAATGAAATATAATGTTTAACCAATGACAAAAGTTATGAAAATGTCTTACGTCTATATCATTAAAACAGACAAACGCCTTACATCCAGAAGACATAGAGGATATTTGTTTGTTTGTGTGTAAGATGAAATTTTATTTCATCGAGTGAGCTTTAAAAACAGTATTCTCACGAGTGGCGTAGCCACAAGTGAGAATACTGTTTTTAAAGTTCACGAGATGAAATAAAATTAAATCTTACACAACAAACAGACAAATTTTCTTTTTATTTTATGCTTTAAAACAAGTTAAAACGAAATTTCCACAATTTTTACGTTAATATTAAAATCTGTTTCCCCCATTGAGAGCCCCATTTAGACAGAATTTCTCATTTAAAACAAGAAGTCTTGAGCTGAAAATAAGTCCGCCAATCAAGGTTAAATGACGGTGATATTTATTCATTTTATTAAAAAAATATGAATGATCGCTTGTTTTAATAATAAAAACAAACAATTCTTGCAGGAGAAAATTCCAACCATCCATCCATATTTCTGTTACTTACTGCGAATTTATATTATACCTGGCTTTCTAAAATGTAAACGGCAGCCATTTTTTAAAGTTGTGTATTTCATGGGAGGAAAATAATTGTATAAGATTCAGAAGGATATAATTTAGATTTGTTAGTCATACACCTTTTTAAAGAAAGAAAACTTATTTTGGGATTGTAACAGACAAAAAATTGGTGTTGACAGAAGTGAAAACATTCAGAAAAGGAGCTAGGAAAATGGAAAACTTAGAAGCTTGCTGAAGGAACGTTGGGTTGTTTTACTTATTTTAGGAGTGATGGCTGTCAATGCTTTTCAATTTTTCATAAAGCATACGGCAGTTATTGCTCGTAGGATACTTAAATATGCCCAAATGTCATCAAGAGCAGTTTTGCATGGGGAAGGAATGTATTTTTCAGACTGTAAAAACGAAACAAAAAAATTTAGAGACGAAATTTGGTGATTGGAATAGAAGTTAGTTTTCCCTCTGCGTTACTTTTGACATTTAAGTTATTTATCTATTTCAGCTTAGCTATTTCTTTTAACAGCCTGACATTGTCAGAATTGTCCGTACAAATAAAATTGAGGTACCACATGGGGAAAATCTTAAAAAAGTAGTTTCGTCATTGAAAAAAGTGAAATTATATTTTGATAATTTTCACTGTGAAATTATCAAATATAATTTTCACGGATAAATCAGTAATCCACTGAAAAGCATAAAATAAAAAAAAATATATGGCTTTATACTCGTATTTCATCATTTTAGGTTATTTTATTCACTCCAGCCACGATACGGATGAGAAAACTTGACAGGACGTATTAAGCCAATACAAATTTGTAAGGTAAAAGGGCCTGAATTATATTTATTCTCTGGCTTATGAAGTTCATTACAAGTTTTGTCGCGCCGTTTCGTTTTGTCACGTCAAACTATGGTTGACGATTCAATTAATAATTATGTGTGGCGATTCTGCAGACATTTAATTACAAATTTACAATAACACAAGCAAGAAACTTCTGCATGTTTAACTTTAATGTTTTTACTCCTCGTAATAGACTTTTATATTCTATATCAATTCATTGGTTGATGTTGTTTCAATGTGTCTTTTACACCATTTTTCTTTGACAGAACGTGAAAAACGCAACACACCCGCAATCGTGATAAAATGCGAGATAACTAAACACATAACTTAACATAACCTAAATGGTGAAAAAACATGGCCAATATCCCACAAAGCAATACGTTCTAGGCAAACTATTGCTGTGGCAGACGGGGACAAAGTGTTAACGTACAATTGTTACAGCTACAGGTAGTAAAAAGTTGTGTTGTATATAAGGAAAAACCCATGAATGCATATGTACATCCACCTACCTTTAGGGTAATAGGTTATAAACCCGTAGCACATTTCGTCGTAAGTACCATCGCCCCAAAATGTTGTTGTTGTTCTCGACATAGAGTTAAAGTTACATTCCGTCTTTAGCTCATCGCCAGGCTTCAGGATTAATGGTGTTTCGTATCTGTTAACATTATAATACATTTTTAATCTTCTGAATTCATCCTCGGATTATCATTTTCATACTTTTGATCTATTACAAAATGTTAAAATTAAGTGCCTTACAAGAAAAAAATTACCAACAATTTGCCTCTACAGCCAAAGATCTTGCAAATAAAAGATGACCAAAACGTAAAAAACTATGATTTACAAAAATTATCCTAAACTATCATGGAACATAATCTATCGTCGATTCCCTAGGTGGATGTGGGAGATAAACAATTACATTTGGAATACTCACATATGTAATTCAGGAGTGTTGTAGTCATATTTAGGATCATATGTAATATCTTGTATTTTCCTACCTTCACGTATAAGTTCTACCTTTTGAGATACACCTTAAAGTATACAAAAAGCAAAAATGCCAATGTAAATAACATTTAAACATTGTTATATATTGAGTTAACTTTTTATACATTCACAATGATTAAAACTGTTTCTTTATAAAACGATAAACTATGCTCAAAATTGATATTAGGTAATATTAAACAATTATTGACTAGTGAGCCATTGAATATGATGTGATATTTACCGGCAGATGACATATTGACCGAGGCGATAGCCGAGGTCAATATGACTTTCTGCCGGTGAATATCACATCATATTCAATGGCTCACTAGTCAATAATTGTTTTATTATATGAATATGCTAAGAAATTTTTAAAAAATCACAAATGTACAACATTATATACATGTACAAATTTTACCTCGTTGAAGCGCGGGAAAAAGGACGCACGTGTTAGGCGTGCAACGACTAGTACGCGAACGCTGCGCATACAAAAATAATTCAAGTTTATACTCATCATTGCGGTGTAGCCTTTAAGTATAATAGTCAAGTAATGATACTTTAATTGAGAAATATGCCATAAAGAACAAAAAGCGACACTTATTTCTTTTAATTAACTGTGTAATTAACAGTCTACGTTGTATGATCATTGAATATGAGTCTCAATCTATTTTTAGACTGGGAAAATCCAATTCAGCCAGTGAATATGATACTACACCCAGTGAATATGAGTTTATAAAAAGATCTGTTGACTACGGTTTGGACCAATGAGATTGCAGCTATATTTAGATCATATAATAATGATTATTGATACACAGTCTCTTTATAAATATAAAATAAATAGGTTTTGACTTAATACAAAGCATATATGTTATGTTTAAAATCTACACAGTATGAGTAGACACAATGAACATGAATATATAGACCTTATTACAATACGATTTTTCCATAGCAACCAATGTTGAATTTCGCGCATGCGCATTCTGCGTAGGGCAAAAGCGCAATAATTTTGACAACAGTGCATGATACTTTAAGACTCCAATAGTCGTGATTCCATGTCATATCAACTAGAAAACAGTATTTTTGGGATGACTTAAAGCAGTAAGTACTTAAAACGTCAATTGATATCTATAATATATATAATAAATATACAGGACTAATAATCCAATGGTCAAAAGGCGCATCCAAAAGACGTCTGTTTAAGGTATCATTAGACGTCTTTTTCATCCGTAATTTAAATTTAAACAGCAGGGTGTTAAAGAATAAATTTTATTACCCCTGTATTACATAATATATTGTACACTTCCTTTGGATTGACCGGACGGTAAGTGTCAAACAGATTGACACGCGACCGTGATTGTTTGTTTCCAGCTAGACATTCAACGGGACGTTTTAAAACAATGACATAGTCAATCACGTACAATTATGAAAATCGTAATTTAAGCAACTTTTATATATACCAATCTCATCAATGTTTATTGTTTTGTGAAGTGACAATTAGTGTAGCTTGCATCAAAAAATGTGAACATGTGTTAAGAGGAACCGGATAAAATGAGTGTTATTTCGCTTTCCTTGAAGATTTTGAAAAAAATCTTTGTAAAATATATTTATGTGACTTTAAAATTATCTGTTTTGCATCACAGGCAAATAAAGGATATATCAGGTAAACTTAACACTAAACATGCATTATCACCGGGCCTGTTCAGACTATTTTAAGAATGTTTATTAACCTCGATTACATATGTTAAAAAAAATCTTATATCTTTTAACAAGTGAGTTATCTCCATTTAAACAAAAGATATAACTCCACATTATCTTAAAAAAAACTCACTGCCAGGTCCGTGACCATAAGCGGGCACACCGTCAGGGGCAATTCTTACACAATTTCATTGTACATGCTTTTTATGGAAATCTTGGCAACAAAGCTATAAAGGAATCTTTTCTATTTTTGTTTAAAGCTATTTTATATAATTTTCTACCTTTTACCTTAAACTAACTCGGAATTATCTATGAACTTTTTTTTCTATGTTTTTTTTTTTTTTTTTTATTTTTTTTTTATTTTTTATTTTTTTTTTTTTTTTTTGGTTTTCCCCTGCGCAGATTGCGCTTGTTCGGGGAAATACTACTTCTGGTCGATTTTTCATAGCAACGGACCGCGTCGTAAAAAGTTCTTTATAGTGCCATTAGAACAAAATTTGGCAGTTCATTTAAGAAAGGGCCAATTTTAGTTGACTTTTAAAAGGGAAAACAGCTTCCAATACATAGCTTATTCATTTTTATGCAAATAAAGACATTTTCTGTAAGAATTTCAAAGATTTCAATAAATTTCCGTGATTAAAATATTTTTCATCATGATGAGCATAGTACATCTTTAATTATAGAGACGTTGAATTTATTTTTGTATAATTTTGTCAGCAGTAGAAATGTTTCTTAGTATCTTGTTTCTTAAAGATGTACCCGTGTTTTGTAAGCTAACAGTACAATGGCCTTTTACCGGTACTTTTACATGTGGTTAAGTTAAATGCTCAATATTTTTCCCTTCTTTAGAACTGACAAACAAGAGTCTTACATTAAATAATGGTTTTAGAGCATGTTAGATGCTTATCACCTGAAGAAATTATAACGGAATGTAAATATTGTGTCATAAAGTAGTGAAATGTCGCAGCTCAAACGAAACAAAGGGATCGTTGACTCTGCTGTGAGTTCTGGACCTGGTGTAGAGGGGTCTGTAAAAAGACAAGTATGCGCTACTCAAAATATTTATTCTTCCCTACAACAAAACCGTGACCTGCGCCAACAATTTCTCAATTCAAGTGCGCAAGCGTTGTGCAGATTAGCGGGGAAATTGAAATATTAGCGAGAAAAGTTAATCGAAGATATTGAAAAGGTTATAAAGTACTATTATGTATAGGTAACGGCTATTGGATATGAGATATGAGCTATGCTATATGAATTAAAGAAATAACTACGGAAAACAATAAGGGACATGGAAATTAACATATAAATATACAGAGACAAGCATGGTCACGAACAGACTAAAAATATACAGCACTTGACAAGACGGACAATGTATACTTGACCCTGCGACAGAAATATAAACAAAAGGGTGTTTTGACTTCCATACAAAACAATTAATGAAAATGAATGTACTATTTGCCAAAAGCAATAGAAGAGGAAGACAGGTCAGGTAATGGACCATTTAGTAATTTGTTTGAAACTATCTTAGAATACAAAAAAAGAGAAGATTTTGAAATAAATAAAAATGAAAGCACTTTCACACACCTTTTTATGCCTCATAAATTTAGCATTATGTATGTTCTAGATGTTTTAAAGATGGCTTTATGTTTTGAAAAATATCATACCTAGACCATGCATATGGTTGAAAGCCACCGGAACTTTGACCTCATTCTTGATAAGTGAATTTGTACATTCAGATGAGCAGACCCCATTAAATTTTACGAGTTCCTCCCCTGGTGGTATTACGATATGATCTTGCCCTACGACAAATATTCCAGCGTCGTGCGGTCGTAATTTCTTCGTTAGATGTACAATCATACCGGAACTGTCCGTGTAGTCGGAGCGTCGTTCCGGGTTATTCCAGTGAAGCTATAAATAGAACAAGTTTGCTTCTTTAAAAAGAAGCATGCGAGAGGTCTTTTTGCTGCTGTGGAAAATTTGTTTAATTCGAAAATATTTGGGGATATTTTTGCATAACAGACACAATGAATGTTTATAAATTACAATTATTAAACAAAATAGAATTCATTATATAAATTATATTGCAATGAAAGTTTGTTTTACATTTCATCTTTTTTAATGTTTTAAAAGATTATATGCCGGAGAAATGGACTTTTTTCTTGGCGCATTAGGGATACTTTTTCTACAAAAAAATGTAAAATTACTTAATGTAAATTAAATGATATATATCATTTATATTTGTATTTTAAATTCAGTTCCCTTTGTAGAAAAATTATATATATATTAAAAGTATTTTCAAAATAAAAGTTTCTTGTAAAGTTCAATAAGCAAATTTTCTGTCACTGTTTTGTTAAATATAAGGAAGCATTTCCTCTACATTTTCCAAAACGAGTATAAAGTATGTTAATCAAACAAGTTTACATAAAAAATGTTGATATCATTTGATTGGAATAAACAGTAAATACTGTTATATACTGTTATACTGTAAACAGTATATAAAGCTGCATGCCTCCAACCACAATATTAGAAGAAAATCAAACTTGAGATAACATTTGTGCCATTTGCGCCAAAAAATCTCCCTTTGCGTTATTTAGATATACCGGTTCAATACACGGTTCAATCGGTCATATAATGTTTGTTTGTTTCATTGTGCGCCTTTTTCCAACAGTATTTTAGTCATATAGGCGGGTAGTTTCCTAACCATCGTTCCTGGAGAGTTTCACCAGTACTAGACAACCTTCCTCCGCGCTGAACTAACAAAAAAGCATCTCCCGGGGATCGAACTCACGCCAGAGATTTACTGGATTATAAGTCATCGACTCTAACCCCTCGACCACGGAGGCGGCATAGATAGTGCCTGGTGATATTGTAAGTACAATGTTCACTGTAACTATTTATCAGACCATGAAATAGTAAAACGTTATTCAGAAAACAATACTGTAATCGATTTATACAGTTACGGAATGAAGCATCCATGCACGTAGTGTTAAGTAACGTAAATGATATTTTCCGATTTTTCTATGTACCGATTTGTTCACTTCGATGTTAATTTTTCGTTTAAGTTGAGCCGTGTTTTGAAACGGGGCATGCGCAAAACAATTTTTGTAAAATGCTCGTAATGATTTTAGGCTTAAAATGAGATTCATTCACTGCAATCAGATACGCAAAAATGGATGCCGCCAGCAATCAGTCTGAACATTATGGAGAGGTCTGATGACCTCTCCAATGATTTTCTGTCAATACAACCGGAAAATATTCGATATTTCAATATTTTGAGCACGAAATAGGCTAAATTATGTTTGTCTGTGTTTTTCTGACTTACCCTTTCGACTTTATAATAAACTATTCAGGAGGTTTAAAGCTTTTATATTTGAATAATAATTTTTAAATAACAGGTACATCTCTTTTGTGTTTCAACTTAACTGCTGTAACCATGTATATTTGAACAAATACTTATTGAAAACTTACCTGAATTACTCCGCGTTTATAACCGTTTCTTCCTATACGGAACCCCATATCCTTGTGTGCACACTCTCCGAGCATACCAAAGCTCCATATTCCTATGATTTGTACACAGTTTTTGTCCACTTCCATTGCACAATCATAAGGAACCCCGGGCGGATGTTCAGTATCTGATTCAATTATACAGAATATTTCAGTTATTTCTTACAAAAAATGTGGACAAATACCTTGTAAAAGGGTTAAATTAATCGTATGTCGTATGTATTTAATCAGAAGGAATTGTTCATATACCCCTGAAGAGTACTGACATTATTTATCTTAAAATTTAAACGGTGCGATCTGTTGATTCGTTATGATAAATGAGTGATAATGAGAAAGATGCAATATCTTTAATGCCCCATAGCACTAACTTTATTAAGTCTTAATACTTAGGGAACTGGAATCTATGATCCCGTAGGAAGATAATTATAAGCACTGAGTTGAAATACGGAAAAACTTTTTAACAGCTGTCGCCTGCTGATGTCAGTATCAATGGAATCGGGAGGTTCTTTGGGACAAATAAAAACAAAGCTTGGAGATCCGAACTGCCAAATGCTTGTAACAAGTCATAACTTCATGTAAAATGTTTCAATATATTTGTATTTACCTGTTCCATCACATCCAATCAGTAGAATATGGTGCATTATATTAAGATTGTCAAGAACTGGTTCGTTAGCAATCATGTGATAATCGCCATCTTGCGGGTAATCAAATACCATGCACTTGTAAATGGTTTCCCGCGAGTCTACCGGTGTTTCCGCCGGAAGTCGGAATGTCACATTTGTGGTACCTAAAATAATTGTATTTATTTCATCCATAATACATGTAATTATGTGTAATGAATAAGTAACAAATTGATGTACAGGTATATATTATTATGAAAACTGTTGTTTCAAAAATGTTAAGACCTTTTTACAGTACGATTTTTCCATAGCAACATATGTTGCATTTCGCGCATGAGCATTCTGCGTAGGGCAAAAGCGCAATAACGATAGCATACATTTAGCACACTTTAAGTCTTTAAAAGGCGTCAGTTATGTCACCCAGAAAAAAAGAAATTTTGGGATGAATTAAAGCGGTGAGCACTTAAAACAAGAATTGATATTTATGACAGATATACAAAATTAGCGGAATGGAACTACAGTGACACATTTAAGGTTCCGTGATAACCGCCGTATGAACACATCTGTGGATGTTTCAAAATTTAAAATTTCACCATTTCATGTTTAAATGTTGAATTCTGCTAAATCCGGTGCTAGGGGACGTGGACGGTAACTTGCACTTTCCAGTACCGTCCATGGACAGGAGCCTGCAACATAGTACAATTTTGCCATGTTGGGCTTTCTTTAGGGATTCTGCAATACTCTATTTTATTTTTTTTTATTGATATTTGAAGCGACAAATAGTGTACGTGACGTGTATTTCCATGTGATACACGGAACCGGATAAAATGTGTGTTATTCCACCACCCCTCTTAACTTCACAAGAGTTTAAAAAATTATTTCAATATAAATTGTGACTTATTAAAATCTGTTTGGCATCTCAGTCAAGCTAGGTAAAGGATAAAATTAGCTAAACTGAAAACTAAAAATGCATTATATCATGTGTTCCGACTTTTTTTCAGAATGATGTTTAACCTCGATTTAAAATTTATATAAAAATGTTTTATATTATATGTAATAAAAATATCAAAAATATGTGGACGTTTTCAACAACAATTTAATTACTAGTAAGTTCTACTTACCTTCCTCATGGATAGCTGGACATTGTAATCTGTTTGAGCCACATGTGACAAATGTTGTCTTTTCTTTACATTCTGGACTATTCCATGGGTTACAGATGCCTAATTATTAAGACAATTATAGTTTATCACTTAAGCGTTTCAACCAAAGACAGTTCTATTATAGACAACACATATTAGTGGGACTACAAATACTAAAACCCGAGCGTTAAGACCGTCATCGTGTCACTGTGTCACAAGTAGGATTGAAAGAATTATCTTGCTGTACCCTTTTATATTCTGATCCTCGAGACATTAAAGTTATACCTGTGACAAATGATTTGAATAGTGCCTATCTTTCCTCGCATGAAAAAGAGAGATATACAAGACATTTCAAATTTTGCCCTTTAGAAGCCCAAAAGGGCTCTAAAGGGGTTTTCGAATTTTGAAAATCGTTATGCTTTTGTTTTTAAAACCCCCCAAAAAAAATTTTTTTAATTTTTTTTCCCCAAAATAAATATATTTGTTTGTTTGATTCAAAGTCGTAGAGAATTCAATTTTGAGATATCAGAGGTACGTGTATGTAGGTTTACCAGGCTTTATGCCTGTGACTGCTCAACTTTTGTATCTTGCTATTTAATTTCCTCCAACTTTGACTCATCTGTTCACAACGAACAATTTAGCAGTAGAGCGTTGAATTGAAAATCGGGTGGCCCTTGTCCGATTTCGGACAGTGCATGTTACATCATGAAATCATTTCTACGGTCATTCGCACTATAATTCTGCTGCTGCCATATACAGAAGTTATCAGTTCCGTGCTAATGTTTGTTTACTTGGCATTGAACTAAATGAGTGATATTTTTTAAGATTCTGGTGCTTATTCTACCTGGGTGGGAAAGTTCCGTTTTTCTGGCAGGTTCCTTCCCAACCTCCCAAACACAATCAGGGTCCCCTAGCTCCTGTCCGTTCGACAGTCCATCTCCATCGCTATCCTTCAAACACAGAGTTCTATCCCATTTCTGAAACAAAGTTATCACTGAAGTAAAATTACATATGTAATTTTGTGACGAAAACATCTTATGACATGAACCTTTTAATATTCGTTATTATATGATCAAAAATGTCGCAAACAAGGGAAAGATTGTTTTAGTTTAACCAATTTACACAATTTCTTAAACTACAATGACATATGGTAACGAAACATGACCCCTGGAATATAATTATGCATTTTCGTCTTGATATGAAGAGAAGCGATTTTTTTTCTATATATCGCGATTTTAATTCTATTTCTTGATAACTATTGATAATTGATAACAACATTAAAATTTTCCGTGTACAATATAACGAAAAGTGAAAAGAAATTTGATATACAACCAATCTCAACGTAATGACGATCCAATCATATATTGTAGACTGTTCATTCGTTAAATTATATAGCAGAACCAAACAGTACTTAGCATCATTTTTAATCAGATTGATAGGGAAATCTTTTACTAATAAATAACAGGAATATACTTTTGGGCGTCATTTACCAAGTTTTCATCTTTGTAAAGAAATTTTATCAATATCAATAATTTTTCGAGCATTTAGAAACAAGAGATAAGATTTAAGTGTATAAAGAGCTATATCTTATGAAATCGATTTATAAAATTTGAAAAGGGTATCTATGTTGTCTCCATAATATTGTTGTTGATTCGCAAAAGAGTATTACATAGATTGTTTACATAGACTGTTACACGTGAAAAGTGGCGCGTGAACAAAATAAAAAAATTCGAAAAAAAAGTATGCCACTGCTTCATCTGATTAGCAATGATTTCGTGCACGCGGCATTCGCACAAATATAAAAAATACGACAATGTATTTCTTTCATACAAGCAGTTTGGAATTACTCTTTTTTTTAATTAAACCGATTGATCTAATAGCAAGCATCAGATATAGCTGTATAAAAGCACTGCATGTATGACTCAAATAACTACCTTCCCGTTTGCATGAAAATCTAGACCAAATACATTTCTCACACCTCCACCCTGTTCATTCTCATGTCCAACACCGTTCCAGACATCACCTTCTCTACAAGGATGGGGAACAATAGCACCATTCGGTATTTTGTCCTGGAAAAACCGGTAACCATGGCAATACGTTACTAACAGCAACACGCAGATGATATCACGTAATCTGTGAAAGGAACGAAATATTTTCTAAACACATGTGTAGGCTTCATAATGTTTCCTCGTATTTATCTAAAAAAAAATGTAATCAAATAAAGTGTTCTTTTTTTAATACGCATGATCTTGAGCCATCGTCTGAATTGGTTTATACGTCCGAAAAAATTTCGGCGTATACTGTTATGCACCTGGTCATCCGTCCGACCGTCTGTTTTCGTGTACCGTCTGTTTTTTCTAAACAGGTACTCGGCAGGAAACAATTATGAAACAATGAGCAGGTCAAAAGTCAAAGTCATGGTCACAATTGGTCATTTTGTATCAATTTCAAAATTTCTTGTCCGCTCTGTATGTTTTGAACATAAAAAGATATAAAAACTGTTTTGCAGATATATAACTTATAATGAGACGATGTGCCGAGCATAGGTTTTGGGCTTCCTGGAACCAAAAATATACGGTGTTCTTGTTTAAAGTTACTAAATAGATTAGTACTAGAGATTCATTTAAGAAGTACGTGATGTTCTCATTAAGAATAATTTCATAATTATCAGCATCATCATCATAATCGTATACCATTAACAATAATAATAATTATCATTATCATAAGATAAGATAATCATTATCAAAATAATTATATCAAATGACATTATTATTTTTTATTTATTTATAAATATAGTCCCCTTGCTACCGGTTTCATAATAATAATAACAAAGATGATGATGATCATAATAATAATGATGATGATGAAAGTGATGACGATGATGGTGATGATGATAAGAAATAATAATAATGATAATAATAATGATTATAATGAAAATAATAATAATAATAAAAATAATAATAATGATAATGGTTATAAAAATGGTAACGATTAATGATAATGATAATAATAATGGTTATAAAAATGATAACTATAAATTATAATGATAATAATAATGGTTATAAAAATGATAACAATAAATGATAATGATAATAATAATGGTTATAAAAATGATAACTATAAATGATAATGATAATAATCATGGTTATAAAAATGATAACGATAAATTATAATGATAATAATAATGGTTATAAAAATGATAACGATAAATGATAATGATAATGATAATGGTTATAAAAATGATAACGATAAATGATAATGATAATAATAATGGTTATAAAATGATAACGATAAATGATAATGATAATAATAATGGTTATAAAAATGATAACCATAAATGATAATGATAATAATAATGGTTATAAAAATGATAACGATAAATGATAATGATAATAATAATGGTTATAAAAATGATAACGATAAATGATAATGATAATAATAATGGTTATAAAAATGAAAACGATAATAAGGATGATGATGACGAAGACGACGAAATGATAATGATGAAGATAATAATATGTATACGAATTAAAATAAATAAGATTTTCAAGATTGATACAAATAATAATCTGTACATCTTTCCAAGATGACCAAAGAAAATAGACAACAGGGAAAATGTACAAGCATGAAAAGATATACATGTGATATTTACCTAACTGATACATATCATTATTTTGTATCAAATCTGAGTTTCTAGGTCAGATGATACAAAGATAATAAATTTGGCGACTGATGTGACCAGCCAGTGGCAGAAGAAAATTAAACATTTTTATATATATTTATTCATCTGTGTAATCAGGTTATGTTGTCCTATCTATTGACGAAAAACTAAAAAAAAAGACTTGACCGCTTAACTATAGTGTAAAAAATGTAACTAGGCTGTTTTTGTTTTATGGTCGAAATTTGCGTTTAAACGATTAAAAATTATAAATGAATATTAAACACACAATGCGTGAATATTAAAAAAAAACATTGACATTGATTGATGATATCAAGTGGGTGTATCGCTGAGTGAAATATGGAATACATGTTCACGAAACAATCATGATAAAATTCCATGTATCTTCACGAGTCGGAACGGCAAGTGAAATATATTGAATTTCATCATCTTAACCATGTTTTACGATAAAACGAAAAAACATATATTTTTTATTTAATTTAACCTTCAAGAAAAAAGCAATAAAAGTTGAATACATGTATATGTATATTCATATTTGAAACACAGTTGCAATAATTGCACAGCGCGCAATTAACATCGACTATTTAAAGTTGCGTGAAACAGTTCAATACACAGTTTATTTCACAGCCATCTTGAACAGTTTACTGTCTTAAGAAAACAAATATAACCAGATCATTTCTGATAACGAAATGAATATCTGAAGCTTATGTCTGCAACACAGATTATCATCTGAGAAAATCGTCCCAAAAGACCCTGCTTCATTAACTGATTGACTGTTATTTTATTACACGTTTAAAAAATTTATCAAGCCTGGGACATAAGATAACATTTTAAGACCCGGGTTAATCAAGTATGCCACTTTGACCGTCAAGTTATTGAAGCATGTTTACTAAATTTTTGGCAAGGCCCAAGGCATGAGATAAACAACCGGGTCACAACAACTATGAAAACTCTGGATAAAGAAATACACTATAAAGCCAGTGACGTACAGAACTGGCATGAATATATTCCTGCCCAGCTAGTACACGTATTTTAGGTTGAGCTGGGAGAGGGGTGCTGCAGCCCCGAAGCCCTGTCCAGAAGCTGCAATTATAATTTATTTGGTGCAACTTTCTACTATTCAATTAAATTTAAGTTCAAAAAAATATAACTAGCCTTTGAAATATGTACCCCAAAAAGACAATCATGACTTAAAAACAAATATATAGATAACAAATAATCAAAGCATTTTAAGTAATAGTTGGACTATACAGCTAAAAGTTATAAGGAAGGAGCAGGCGATTTAAAACGTGTCTATCTTTTTATTTTGTTACCTGTTTGTCAGCAATAGAGTTCAGAACAACAATAACATGCAAATTGCCTGTCAGCGTGAATTTTACATAAACGCACAAGGGTTATCGAAATTACGGGGAACAAACTTCAAATGGTGCATCGAGAGGTGCATTGGTTAGAACGATATGATGGTTTCCGGTTAAACATGACTATGATGGTTTAACTCCCATATGAGGACGCCATACTCAAGAAATTGAGCGGCAAGATTTAAAATTTGAGTTATTTTTGTTATATATGAACAACTATTGTAAAACAATCAAAATGTTATTCGGTCCTTATAAAGTTCCTTTATAATAACCCAATATCATGTATTGTCATTTGATTCTTTCAGAGAGTTTTTTGTTGTCGTGGGTTTAGGTGTAAACATGCATAACAGAACAGAACAGAACGTATTTTTATTCCGCCCGAGCATTTTTCAATACAATATGGGGAATATAACAGCTGAAAATGTTTATAAAGCTGAAAATTTATGGTGTCGGTACAAGATAACTTGAGGATAAATCAAATGATTGGAATTAAGCTCAAAAGACTATAAAATCACACAAAGTTGACAAGTTATGATGTTACATAACCAAACAAACCATTGTCCGGACAATTGTTTGGAAATCAGCAACAAAAGAAGATAACTATGGCCAAAACTCACACTGTGATCCATATGTGGATATGAGATCCATATTCAAACATAAATAGACGCTGTAATATTGACAATCGCTTCTAAATACAAAATGCATTGATAATTCAAAGCATTATAAAAGAAAAAATGAAAGTTTGACATTTTTAAAAATTGACATCTATATTAATCAACTGCTTTTTCTTTGGTTTTTCGTATATAATCAGCTTTAGTATCACTTTACTTTATTAATCTATTGACATTTGATGTAAAATGAATGCGCAAGTATATCTGGACAAAAACATTATCATTTATCTGGTACATAACTTAATACTGGGCAATAGTAGGAGATTAAAAGGAATAACATTTGTGAAAAGACAATATCATTGTTAAAAATGCACTAAAGAAGGGCCGACTAGCATTTCAATATTCTTTTCATGATAGTAATTATTAAAAAAAAACTCACAATTTTAAAAACTTAACGGTAAATATAGTCGACATGCATATTGGAGTTTTACCGTCATATCTTTAACCAGAAACCATAATATCTTTTAAACCGGTGTACATTTCGGTGAACCGTAAGTTGGAAATATTGGCGACCTATAACTAGACCGTCTGAACTTTCATATTAAGACGGAAAAGTATGGTAAAGACTAAACAATTTAAATAGTTAACAAGAGATGGCGACAGAACGACAAACATACTGGCTTAGTGAATGAAGGAATGAATGTAATGTAATGAAATGAAATGAAATGAAATGAAATGAAATGAAATGAAATGAAATGAAATGAAATGAAATGAATGAATGAAGAACGAACGAACGAACGAACGAACGAATGAATGAATGCTGTTGACGGAATAGTCAGAAACAAATTTGAAGGTAGGGCAAATTCTTAAACGCTGTCCATCACACAATTAAATGCGCTTAACTGTAAGGTACAGAAGGTCAATGTTGATATATGCTAAAATGTTTTTAGACAGGTGATGTTAAACACTATTTGTGTCTCATCGATGACAAGATGTAGGTCAATCAAATAAAACCACGAATAGATGGCAAGGTGACGCTGTCATCATAAATGACAATGTTATTATTTGTTGTTTTTGTGATAATCATAAGTATTTTGCTTTTTGGGCTAATATTTTTTAGTATATGTTATTTTCCTTATTTTTACATGTAGGCGTAAGGACATTATCCAGCATTTCCAATGACTGTGCAGTTTCTTTTGATGTCCGATTCTATTAAGGTAGAAAAAAAGACTTGTATAAAGTAAATTAAATGAAATATAAATTTACAAGTAGCTTATGGTGATGTTTTTTGACCAAATATAAAAGTATCTTATTTATTCATTCTAAACATCTGTCTCTTTCTAATATAATGTTATGGGTTTTTATTATTATAATCCCTTTGTAAAAAACAATGCTATTGTTATCGCTAAATTAACTGAACAATTGTCCATATTTACACATTTGAGCCGCGTCACGACAAAACCAACATAATGGGTTTGCGACCAGCATGGATCCAGACCAGCCTGCGCATCCGCGCAGTCTCGTCAGGATCCATGGTGTTCGCTTACAAACCTTATAACAAGTAGAGACACTGATAGCGAACAGCATGGATCCTGATCAGACTGCGCAGGCTGGTCTGGATCCATGCTGGTCGCAAACCCATTATGTTGGTTTTGTCGTGACGCGGCTCATATCATTTTAAACAAGAATTAGTATATCAATATGATACAATCCTCTTGATCTTTCATGATGAGTAGGTGTATGTAGCTTTAACAAAACTCTCAAACTGAATAGTATTAACGCTCGGATGGCAATAGCAGCTGTTCGACAATTCTGTAATATAATTAAGGGCTTTTTGTTTGCCAATTATTTAAAGCAATAAAGATGTTTATCTGACATCATGAGCGTAGAAACGTACTCTTTTTTCAGAAATAATACTGACTGTAAATATATGGCCCTAAATACATAGATAAAAAAAAAATTTTTCGAAAATAACTTATTGCGTAATTTAACAGACACAGTACTGATTATATATTTTACAGAGAGAAATCTATTTCTAACAAAGTAAGCTGTGTCTTTTCCTTCAACTCTCAGTTGACTTATTTTCTTAATATGTTGACTGTTTGAAGGGCACTGTTTCTATATAAATGCAGCTATGATATATTTCAGATTATTAAACATTAAACACGTCTTCGCTTCTTATAGATACTTATTTTCCCAACTAGTTATGTCACTTTTTTTTCTCTCTTTTTTTACTACCCGATAAATAAAAGTTGATTTTTATTCACTTTTGAATTATAATTTTATCTTCCGCATATAATCAGAGTGTATTATAGATCTCCTTAAAAAATTACTGATTATTCGTTATTATGTGCGTAGTTTAAATCATTTTTCCCTGTTTTCGACATAAATATTAAATTTTGTTAGGAAAATAAAAAAAGACACACTTGTTAGGAACAATTAATAAAAAACGACATTATCACATTTATGCTAAAACGATACTTATCTGAAGAATACAAATGTTATTTTGCAGTTTTCAGTGAAATACTTTTTAACGCTATACATCAATGTAGATTTAAATGGTATAAAGCTATATCTAATGAATTTTAATTAAAAATTTAAACAGTAAAAATTGCGTTGCTTCTGTAATATTATGACCGATGCATGAGTTGGTGTACATAGAAAGAATGCCCCTGCTATTTTACGCACATGGATATTGTATGTAAACAGAATAAAATGTTCACCGGAACAAAATAGAATGCTGCTTTTTTAAGAAGGGTTTTAACTGTTTTGCAATGGTTTCGTGCATTTGCCATTTGCTGTTCAGAAAATATATATAAACAATTTCCTTTATGCTGGTATTTAATAAGTTTTCTTTTTCAAAATTTAAAGAACAATTTTGCAGCAGATATAAAGCTTGATAACTTTAAGTTACAAACATAGCAATTATTTGCGGAAAATAATTGAGCTGTTGCCATTTGTATCATTCAAAAATAAGGGATATAGTAATTTTAACATATTATATATACATTCTGTTTCAAAGCTGTTTTCGATAAAATGTTCGAAATAAACAGTTTGAAATGAACAAGTTCCATTTCTCTATGTTTTTAACAATTTTAGAGTCAATAAAAATATGAATAATATTTTCAGGAAAAAGATATCAAAATATAAAATTTATCCGTGAAGACGGGTTCGTATCGAAAATTAAGCATTAATAGATAATACGTCAAACAAAAAGGTAAATATTGACAAATAAATAAATAAATAAATGAAAATAAATAAAAACATTAAATGGATTAAATAGAATAATGAGAAAACAATGCGCGTTTCAACCAAAAGATTAGTTCATGAAAATGATATAAATGCGTAAATGGAATAAATAAACAAATAAATTAATGACTAAATAAATAAAATGTTAAAATGGTAAAACAAAGAAAATATTTCTAACCGTTCCATAACAGTGTGCACTCCAGCAAAAGGTATCTCGATTGACAATGGTCAAGGGTTAATAGGAAATTGGTTGACCAAATACTACAGGCTATAAATTAAAGGTAAACTGACCAGCATAATAAGTAGTATAGTAACCTAATTGGTGGTCCTGCAGTTAATATCAAAATGATACGTACCGATAAACATGTCATGTCATAGGTCACGTCTTATATTGTGGGTATACTTTAATGACGTATATTTAACTAAATAATATAAGGACATTCCTTACCAAACGTTCGTGTTCTTTTTCCTTTCATTTTTTTACTAATAATTATATTACTAATTGTATTTAATACGTATGATTCACATATTGCACAATTGCTGGTCTCTTAGATATGGTCAACTTAACAAAAATATTCATTTGACAATCTTATTCACAAGATGTTTTGGGCAAAGAAATACACCTGAAAAATATCATTATTCACTTTTGTATCCTATTAATTTGTGCTGCGTATGTTTATGTAAATGAAGTCTGTGCGTATTGATTTATCCTTTGAAAAATTTTTTCTATATTTTCGTGTTTAGGAAGGAAGCCGATATAGGTCCGAGATCAATTGTCATGTAGAAATTCGCCTCATGGAAGGGTGATTAGGGTAGTCTAACAATCGGTTCCGGTCCATTCCGATCGGTTTCACATTTGACGGTGTCTGGGGCCGCCAGCTGCAATACTCGAGCTGCGTGCAATTTAAGTGAAAGCGTTGCAGGACTTGTAATGTTTGGTCATTTTGCACAACAAAATGATGTTTCTTGAAAAATGATTTGCACATAAGCATGGAATCTATTTTTGTTCAATCTGTCATTCACATCGAAAATCAATCTGTAAGCCCTTAATTGTGACCATTCAATTTATACCAGACAACAAGACCTTCGTTATTTCATTTATCATCAAGATAAATATCAAAATAAGATTTATCATCATCATCATAACAATGTTCATTTATTTTTTTCGTTGAGAACAAAGCTAGAACAATCAAGTCAACAGTTGGGGCGGATGGCGAGAAGCAGACGGCATAAGCGATTACAACAAATACAAGAATTTCTGGCACAGATAAAGCAGCAGAAGAATGGATCAGTGCAATGTGTGAACTGTCTAGACATGAATGACTTTTGCTATTTTTATCATGAACTTTGTGCTGAATGTTACCTGAAAATCTGTGTTATTTTGTTGTATGGTTATCGAGTAAATAAACTATAGAGCATTTTCTTCCTTCCGTATGTAATTTACAATGTTTCATGTACAAGAACACATCATCAATAGATAAATAAACGGCAATATATGGTCAAACAAAAACAACAGTAATTGATGTTAAATACTGGGCGTCACTTCTTGCCATAACAGGAACAAGCAGCTAGATAAAAAAAAAACTTAATTAACTTTACAAAACGCAACATTCTAACAAAACATAAAAAATTAGGGTGTTTGCCTACAAAATTAATTATTATTATTATTATTATTATTATTATTATTATTATTATTATTATTATTATTATTATTTCATATTTTTTATTTAGATCTAAAGATCTTTACTGTTATTTTTTCCATTATATAGTATATGTTCATATATTGACGTAAATATTATTATCGTCGTTAAAAAACTGCTTTTTGGTCGATTAATTATTACATGTCGCTTTGTAAAATAAACTACTAATCGACGGTCTCCGTACTCCAGTCACCGGTCTTTGAGGACCGGTTGAGACCGGCTATTAGCCCAACTTTTCCCCGCAATAATTTCAGAACGAGGCATGTAAACATCCACGTCAAACTCAGATGATCATGATTTTATAACATTTGTTTAAATTTTTATCCGAAACAAAATGCAAAGTGGAAATAATCAACCAGTTCAAAATGACGACCAGGTATCCTGGTGGTTCAAACTTCTGACGAGAGGTGTTGGAACCGTCGGTGGAGTTGGTAAATTACTTAGTTATGAGTTTTCGCGACTAGAATAAATTATCGACCGATATTTCCCTGTTAGTCTTGTTGGCACATTTATTCATTTTTTAACGAATGAAGTTAATTATTTCCTGACAATATATTACATTATCATAGCTTCTTCTTTAATTTGATTCTATATCACCATTAAAGGTATAATGTCAGGAGGACCTAGAAAAAAAAGAGGACATGAAAATTCAAGCCCTCAAAATGATATTAAGGTCCTTCACATCACAATAAGTAACCAACAACAAGTATATTCTCCATGGGCCAAGGTTTAATATAGTTCCCATCTGAAAATATCTTGTCCTGATCTATCAACAGTTTTCTGGTGAAGTACACACAATTTTAAATGAAAATAAAACAGCTACATGTAGCTTGTAAATTTCTAGTCAAACTCCAGTTTAAGTGTATGCTTCCACAATTTTGAACCCATACAGACAATCAAAGATCAAAAAAATAGAAATGGTTCAAAGCTTAGTGATTAACTGGATGAAACATTATTGTCAACAGAAACATTCCTGCAGGAAGATCTTTGCTGCCAGTCTCTTATGCCACAGTCACAAATGGCCACCAGGTGGTGTTTGTTTCTAAAAAAACGCAATATTGGGTCGCCTTTGGCTTCAGTGACAATCTGATGGCAGCAGCTGAAAAATTTGCTCATCGGGCGAGCGAAGCTTAGTCCGGATGATAATTTCCATGGTCGTTGAGTTCTAAAATCAGCGGGCAGACAAAGTCTGTCAAAGGGCGATGCCCAGATGATGTTTTGGATTAGGCAACTGTTTTTGATACAAAAGACACCAGTTGGCGAGGAATTATCACTAAGTACCTGGACAAATCAGGCACTGGGGGGTCATCGTTTTGCCGTCCAGTGACCAGGCGGCTTGAGCTTGTTGTAATTGTGGCTTCACCTCAATTGTGTTTGTGCATTGAAAACCAAACAAAATAAACAAATGAAGAAAATGTTCAGAGTAAGTTACAGTACATAGCATTAGCCAACTTTTTCAAACAAAACAAAAAAAAGTATCTTTAAGGAACCCAGACTGAACTTGACATTTGCTCATTAATGACCTTAACGTTCAAAGTCCATTTTTTAAAGTTTGCATGATTATAAGCTCACCTGTCACAAAGTGACAAGGTGAGCTTTTGTGATCACAATTCTTCTGTTGTCCGGCCATTGTCAGTCCGTCCTTAAAATTTTACTTTAAACAACATCTCCTCATAAATCACTAAGCCAATTTCATCCAAACTTCACAGGAATGTTCCTTTGGTGGTCACCTTTAAAAAAAATTCAAAAGATTTAATTACATGCAAAACTCTGGTAGCAATGACAACAAAAAGAAAAATCTTATGTAGTAAAAACTTTTAAAAATCTTCTTTTAAAAAACCCAAAAGGGCTAGAGCTTAGATATTTGGCATAAAATATCTTCTAGTGAGTGTCTACCAAGTTTGTTCAAATAAAAGTCATTGGGTCAAAATTGGTCCCGCCCCAAGGGGTCATTGATTTTCCTGATATGTATATAGGAAAAACTTTAAAAAATCTTCCTGTAGAAGAAAAAAAATAGCTAGAGCTTAGATATTAAGAATGAAACATCTTCTGTTGAGTGTCTACCAAGTTTGCTCACTTAAAAGCTCTGAAGTCAAAATTGGCCGCACACTGGGGGTCATTGATTTTCGTTTTATTTATATAGCCCATTTCACCAGCACTTCGTAATTTATCAGAAACATTCGTAGACACGCATCACATGGGAGGTAATGTGCTAATATGTTTGACCAATGAAATACTGGTTCTCGAGTGTACATGTATTGTTTATATTTACGATATTCAGCGGCTGACGAGCGAGTGTTTATTGAATTAAAAAATGCTTATTCTTCTGGAAAACCCCTACAAACACTTTCATTTTGGTGTACGGACATAATCCCCTTCAGTCAAAATCCCTACTTTCATTTTTTAAACTACTTTCTGATGTCAAAATTAAACATTTCATTATCAGAATCCAATGGATTATCCTCCGCATCGGTCTCAAATGTAAGCTCAAATACTGACGATTTCTGATTGGCTAATATTTAAATATTCTCGGGGAATACCTTGAAAACAACCAATGATTTACGACGCTACAACGTGGCGACCGGGAAGTAAACAGGACAGGTGTAAAGTTGATATCGACTCGTTATCGTGGCGTTAGGTATAGGAGAGAAGTTAAAACTGATGCATTATCGTCAATGAGTTAACTATGCAGTATAACGGCATATTTTTTCTCGAAATATTTCACTTTTGTGATAAGAATCCGCCATGTAAATTTCCTTTGTTTACTTTTATGTTACTATTATTAGTAATAGATTGTACATGCATCCACCAGCATTTGATTGGTCAGTTGATTATATGCTCGGAATCTGATCGTAGCACTTCGCTAATTTACGTGAGAAATCATAGTGAAATGGGCTATAGTATAAACTTAAAAAATCTTCTTTTAAAAATGCAAATAGGTAAAAACTTAGATATTAAACATGAAATATCTTCTAGTGTGTGTCTACAAAGTTTGTTCAGGTAAAAGCCCTGGGGTCAAAATTGGCCCCGTCCCAGAGGGTCATTGATTCCCTACATGTATAAAGTAAAAACTAAAAAAATCTTCTTTTAAAAAAACCCAAAGAGCTAGAGCTAAGATATTAAACATGAAAACTCTTCTAATTGGTGCCTACCAAGTTTGTTCAAATTAAAGCTCTTGAGTCAAAATTGCCCCCGTCCCAGACAGTCATTGACTTTCCTTATATGCATATAGTAAAAACAAAAAAGGGCTTCTTTTAAAAAAGCTTAGATATTTAGCACAAAACATCTAGTGAGTGTCTAACAAGTTTGTTAAAATAAAGCCCTTCGTCTAAATTGGATCTGCCCTGTGGAGTCATTGATTTTAGTTAAATGTGCACATCTTGTGGAAGTGATGTTTTAAATATGAACTTTGTGATATCAATTTAAGAATATGATTTTATATCTGCGTTTTTTATAGTTTACAATATTACTTGTTCCTTGTCATGGAGAGTTTCTATATTCAGGTGAGCGATTTCAGGGCCATCATGGCCCTCTTGATCTTTTAAATGGCTATGACACTGCCCAGTGAGGTATGTAAAAATCATAGGGCATTTAGCACAGATTTTACCATTTTACAGTTGGACCGAAGTTACATTCGAATTGTCTGGTGCATTATAATAATAAACTAACAAGACAGTGAATACATTGTATGCAAGTCCTATATGATTAACTGTTTAAAACACATGTATGCATACATGGTTAGGTATTATGTCAGACTTAGATATGGAAGAAATATTTTGACTAACAATTGATGAAAAATTGAAGAAGGATGAATGTGAAAATGTAGTGTAATATGAGATGCCATTAATCAGATATTATATCTTAGTAAATGCTGTTTGAGTTAATCCTGAGAGCTTATTATAAATAGATATAAAGGTTGCTTTATTGATTAATGTACCAGAGTGTCAGGTAAATGTTCACCAGAGGATATACATGTATTAGCTTTATTATATAGATTGTAGTTTATCCAATAATGTTCTTGTTTCCATTATTTCAGTTGCAATGATCTTGGGAGTTGTAAGATGTCTAACATTTACACCAAGCTGTCTGGTTGGAGGTATTATGGAAGTGTGAGTATACCTGTTGGCAGAATTCTTTTAATGTCACCATTGTTGAAATAGAATGATTTATCTGTTTTATCATGAAGCAACAAACATTGTTGTTGTTGTTTTCAGGGAATAATAGCAAGTTAACTTATTTCTAGTAACAGGTAAAAAGCTGCTATTATATATATATGTTTTTTTGTTTGGTTACCTGCTTTGCTCCTCTGTCCTTATGACTGAGGGGTTGCCTCTTTGAATTGAGGCATCAGAATTGCAGCCACCATTTATCCCTGCATGATCGCAAGAAATGAATAAATGGGTTTGAATTACTGGAGTCTATGCATTTATAAGCTCCAGCAGGTGAGTTGGTTTTGAGCCCTGGTGTTGCTTTAAGTTTGTGACACCCCAGGCTAATCAAAAAATCATCTTTCCTGTCCGGCACCATATGAGCTAATGTGTGTTTGTGGGACATAAATCAAATAAAACATATCCACTCTATAAAATTGAAGGTATGGAGTTTTGTCAACTCTATAAAATTTTGAGGTGTGGGGTTTTGTCAATTTTAACCATAATAGTCTTCAGTGATAAAAACTGAGTTTCTAAAAATAGCAACCTATTGATGTTGTTTATTGTTCCTATGAGTTACGCAAGTTTATATATATAGAGAAAATAGAGTATATCAAGCTATCTTAGCACCTTAAGGCTTATTTACCTCCAGTCACATTCTTAATTTAAGCCCTCAAAGTTTTCTTATTTGAAATAGTGTTTAGTTTATTTGACCCTAAAGTAGCACCTATTTTTGCTTAGTGGTTTCATTAAGGGCAGTATGTCTGCTGAAACTCCTCACCTCTTCTCTTGGATGTGTATGATTATATGTGGGAAACTTTGCAATAATATGAAGAAAAATTCTTACTATGGAACCTTGCATGTTTTTTTCTAAAATTGCTTGTCGATATAAAACTGATGTGTTCTTATTGAAAACAAAGACTCAATAAAAAGTAAGTAAGTACCAACTTTAATTAGTTGTGCAAGCCCGGTCTTCCCTGTGAGCCTCAACAATGTAAAGTAAGTTAGTAACAACTTTATATGAGGCACACAAATTTTAAATACTGAAGACTAACTGGTGGCTTGATTTGGACAAAATGTCATTAAAATGGGAACTGTACAAAAAGGGAAAATATGCTTTGGCTTTAATTTTTTCCCCAAAATAGTGTAAAAATTCAATTTCTTTTTTTAAAAACTTTTAAATTTTTCTCATATCTGTTTTAAATAAAAACTGTTTAAACTTAAAAAGGTGAATTATTTTTTTAAAAATTCCTGAGGGTTTTTATATTGCATTATTAGTTGGGAAATTTTACAAAAACCATCAAAATTCTGTATGTAAAAACTTTTTAAAAAGTGTTTAAATATTTTTGCCCAATGTTTCCTTTTTCTTTGCCCAAGTTTTTGGGTTTTTGGTACTGTTGATTAGAGGCCCTGCGCGGGCCCCTTTTTCTTAGATTTTCTTTAGACAAAATTGGGAAAATTTTTCCGAGACCCCGGCCTTTTGGGAAAAAAGCAGTTTTTATATACATTGTATGTTTTCCAATTTTCCCCTTTTTTTGGGTTAGATAAAAAACTGTAATAAAATAATACAAAATTCCCTTTTATGAATTGAAAACAACCCCCATCCCAAAAAACCTTTTGTTTAATAACCCTTAATAGTTAAAATCAATATGTGTTTTAATTGTTCTTCGAATGTTGATAATATTTCTTAAATTTCAATTCAGAAATTTCATTTATTTCAAACAGTGTGATATGACTTATATCTCATTGATAATCATATAATATAATCATATTGTGATCACCTATAGCGTTTAAAGTTCAAAACATAACATTAATGTATCTACTTTGTGTGAAGTCAAAACATGTTTATTTTATATTGATGAAAGGACCATGTAGCAATTTTCAATATTTTCTAATATCAAATTTGAGCACAGTATATTTTTAATGTAATCTATTTTAAAGACTTTATTTACCATCATCAATGAGATATAAGTCATATCACACTGTTTGAAACTGAGTGAAATATAGAATTTTGATTTACATTCTATACATTTAAAGATATTACTTAATAGAATGCAAAAATGCTTTATAATACTACATTAAGATCATCATGACATTATAAAAATATTTGGTGCCATTTATTGTAAAGTTTGACGGGTTTAAATGCAAAAAATTTTAAATACAACATAACAAATACAAACAAAGTTGATAATGAAAATATTTCTCCACAAAGTGAGAATTTCCTTATATTCTGACTAGCACTTAGCTTTTTAAAATGTTCAAAAATTGATTTAACAAGATAAATTTTTTGTTTTCAGAATTGCAATAGTTCCAATATTGATATGTTTTTCTGCAACAACTGTGTTAGGCAGTGCGTTAGTGTTTGGAACTGGTGTTTTATATGGAATGATGGCTTTAGGGAAAAAGTAAGTCTTCCATAATTTAAACAGCCAGAATTGTCACTCTCTAATTTTAGATCAGTTGCTGTAAATTGTTAAATTTATGAGGCATTCATGAATAATTTATGCTCAAGTTTCATTCTTTACTGCTGTATTTATAACATGGCTTTAATCTAATTAGAGGGTTTCAAGAGCTGAGTTGTTTGATAATTGGTCTAATATTGATTTCTAATATGTTATCACTCACCCTAATCACTTCTGTAAGTTTGAATTATGCCTTGAAAATGAAAGCGTCTACTAGCGTATGTTGTTAAGATAATTATGAATGTTAGCACTCTTAAACACATGACGTCTATTGCTATTATATGTTACATTATATTCTCATTTCTGGTTAAAAATATTAGACATCACCATTGTATAAAAAAGGCGCTAACAAACATATCAAAAAATGTAAAGGAACCTATTGATTTTCATCAAAGTGGCTGTATGTTGCCTTTGATCTAGTCAGCCTAATGTTATTATGGAATTGAGATATTACTCCACAATATGAAATTTTGTTTGGGGAAATATTGCTTCTTAACAGTATCTCACAATTACTTTAGCACATCAAAATATTTGACTGGGTCTTGGGAATCCCGCCTTTTAAAACAAAGTGATAACGGCAAAGGGGTTCTTGCTGTTACCTTAAATTACTATGTTTAAAATATAATTTAAAATACACCCATACACCCGAATGGTCGGTCCCCCATATCTAGTGCCTGTTACATGTTTTTACCACATAAAAAGATGAAAAGTTGCTATGTTACCCATTACAGTATAGATATATTTTGCTGGATTTTGTGGTCCAGTAAAAACTGATATATACTAGAAAGTAACCCTTTATACATGATAACTGTATAAGCTATCAAAAGGTTTTTTATATCTGCACGATTGTTATCTTTGATAAAAATGAATGTGCACAGTTTTGTAAAAGCTGTATATATATATCATATAAATTTATTGGTAGTCCAATTAATTTTTATGTTAACAAAAGTGCAGTGTTATAAATCATTAACATAAAACTAAACAAAAGAAACTGAAAAATGATATTTTATCAATAAGAAATTAACTACTTGTATTTTAGAGCTAGCCGAGAAGAAATGCTTGTCAAAGCAAGTACTCCAAATGATGATGTGGAGATGAAGGCGGGGCTAATAGGTCACGAGGAGGTCAACCTGCATGTACCAGACTCACCAGCAAAATGATCGTGTCATCACCTTGTCATTATCAACATTAGCGTACATGTAGATCTGAAATATATTATCTGTAGGGAGAAAAACAATGGATTTGCAACAGGATTTGAATGTATGATTCAAATATAGGATTTGAATATAGGATATGAGTATAAGATTTGAACACAGCATTTGAGTACAGGATTTGAGTACAAAAATGATATTAATACCAAGCTTATTTTTTTTGCTCATTTTTAGCTCGACTATACGAAGTATATGGAGAGCTGTCATACTCGCCCCGGCGTCCGCGTCAGGTCCAGATTGTAGATTAAAGTTTTGGTGCAGTAAAATATTTTTCACTATAACTTTGTCTTTCCTTAAGTTCCAACTTCAAACTCAAATAATATGTTTCCTTAATCATCAACCACATCTTATGTTGACAAGGTTCATAACTCTACACAATATTTTCAGAATTTATCTCCCCTTGAACTTAGAATTTTCCTTAAAAAATACTATTTTTTACTGATACTTCTTTATTTCTTAAGGGATCAACCTCATACTTCAAATATATACATTATCATCATCCCATCTTATGTGACAAGGTTCATAACTCTAGCACCATATTTTCAGATTTATCTCCCCTTGAACTTAGAATTTCCTCAAAAAATACTATTTCTTACTGTTCTTCTTTATTTCTTAAGGATCAACCTCATACTTCAAATATATTTACGTTATCATCATCCCCATCTTATGTGACAAGGTTCATAACTCTAGCACCAATATTTTCAGATTTATCTCCCCCCTTGAACTTAGAATTTTCCTCAAAAATATACTTTTCTCTACTGTTTCTTCTTTATTTCTTAAGGGATCAACCTTCATACTTCAAATATATTTACATTATCATCATCCCATCTCTATGTGAAAAGGTTCATAACTCTAGCACCAATATTTTTCAGATTTATTCTCCCTTTGAACTTAGAAATTTCCATAAAAAATATTAATTTTTGACTGTAACTTATTTATTTCTAAAGGAATAACTTCATACTTCAAATGTATTTACGTTATCATAATCCACATCTTATGTGACAAGGTTCATAACTCTAGCACCAATATTGGCAAGAATTATCTCCCCATAAACTTAGATTTATTTTACTAGAAAAATGTTATTTTTTTATTTTAACTTTTTATTTTTAAAGGTATCTACTTCAAACTTCAAATACTTATTCCTTATCATCAATTACATTTTATGTGACAATGTTCATAACTCTTGAAGCAATATTTACAGATTTATCTCTCTTTGAACTTAGGTTTTCTTTAAGAAATATAATAACTTCTTTATTTTTTAAGGTATCTACTTCAAACTTCAAATATATATTTCTTATCATTACACAAATGTTGTGTGGTAAGGTCCATAACTCTAGCATGACTATTTATAGAATTATTCCCCTTGATCTTGGAATTAATGTTAACAAATGTTATTTTTTTACTATAACTTAATACATAATTATACATAATTGATTTTTCTTTCATAGTTTTGTCCTCCTTACTGCGTCCAGTATTTTATTAGTTGAGCTTCGCTGTCTCCTGTGACAGCTCTTGTTTTAAACTGTTAGTGAAAGCTTACTTGCTAATTTTTTGAAAATTTGAAAAGACTTGTCAAATTTTCATGTAGATACAGCCTGTTAACAATTTTTAAAGATATTTTGATTGATAAAAAATTTATGGTCATATTGAAAGATTTAATGGCAACTAGCAGGTTAAGCAGTAAATATAAACATCCAACTTTCACACACTGCTTTACATGATCATTTAACAAGATAATAAAAATTCATGACCAATTTTTTGAGTTTAAAATTTTTCAAACCATCTCCTTTAAGTTTTACTACAGTTTTAATCTGAAGTATTGTTAAAATACAGTCCTTGCACAGTATTATTGAAGACTGTATTAATAACATTTGTTGCTATATAGAACATTTCTTAAATGCAATAGAAATGATTATTTTCAAAGTGGATTTAACCGGAACTAAATGTGAAATTGAGCAATCATTGTAGATTTACATCAGAATTGAGAAAAAAATTTTAAGTCAAAATTTCATTAATTTACCCATTGAAAATAACTTTTTAAATCAGAGTTGTCCGTGAACTAGAAAGAAGAAAGTTGCTGTATTATTGTAATGAATTGCAAATTTACTTTTTGTTGAAAAATTATAAGATGTTTAATGTATAAGTAAGATATATGTGCAGGGCCAAACCATATCATTCTGTCATTACATTGAAATATACATTCCTTTGAAAAGGACCATTTGTGTCCAGTTTCATTAGTAAAACTTTTTGTTAAAATGTTGTTGTTTTTTCCCATTTCAAAAATAGCTCATTATAGACTGCCAGTGTACTCACGTAATGCACCCCCTTCCATAAATTTCTCTCTCTCCCATACATAATCACATACACCCTCTCACTCCCTGGTCATCATTCTTAATAGAGGAGGGGCTTTTGTGTTACTGGAGATGGGTGGGGTTAGGGGAGGAGCTTATTAGTTTATGATTATCTCATTACTTTACATTATTTGAATTTCATCAAGCATCATCTTGCATCTATTTCTTGTTATGTTAAATAATCAGTGTAAACTATTTCATTTAAATTGGTTCATTTTATTTTGTATGTTTTTCTTTTGTTTATTTAAGATTCATATGATTATGTTATTGAGCCGTGTCATGACAAAACCAACATAATGGGTTTGCGACCAGCATGGATCCAGACCAGCCTGCGCAGTCTGATCAGGATCCATGCTGTTCGCTTACAGACCCTATAACAAGTAAAGAATCTGATAGCAAACAGCATGGATCCTGATCAGACAGTGCAGGCTGGTCTGGATCCATGCTGGTCGCAAACCCATTATGTTGGTTTTATCATGACACGGCTCAATTGTTTCTTGGACATGATATAACAGGACAAGCAAGATTCGCATAGATTAGCTGTTTTATGATGGCATTTGATTGACAGCTGTTAGAATTGGTAAGGGGAGTGTTAAAATCATAAAAAAAATCTCACTATTATAAGAAATTACATTGAAGAATTTCATAGCATCATGCTAAGAACATTGACAAAAAAATGACTATTAAAATCGTATGCCCATTGAATTATAAAACTATTATTTACATCATTTACTTAAACAGAACAAAAATAATTCTTTTACAGTGATCATAATGATAAACAAGTGGTGCCATATGAATAAACCAAAATATTCCTCAGCCCTAATTTCCTTCTCCTGTTATAATATGTTCCAGATTATTTTAAAAGTATAATTTCACAATATTTAGACAGGCAAACTTGTATGATTGAAATGTTTCTATTGGCATTAGAATTGTTCACAATATTTTGATGCAAGCTGCTCTTTGTTGTTATGGTGAACATTTTGCATTTATTAATAGTTATCCAATTTAGTAGATGAACAAAATATATTATTCTTTAAACTACTGTTTACTACGCAATTTTATATCTGCCATTTACAAAAACTAATTAACTTATTTTATATTTATTAAGTTGTGTTTTTTTCTGCTTGCAAGAAAATTTGAATTCATTTCTTATTGTTATTATTTTTGTAATTTATTCTTATAAGTAAGAATTCCAGCATGTAATCCTATATGACTGTAAATTATAGTAAATTATTGCTTTGGAGATGATGTGCAGGAGCCACAATATATGATAATTTGTTATTATTTCATTAAGACAAATAAGTAAAGCCAAACAAAAATGTGTTATGCAGAAGGTACATTTTTAGATATTATCAAAACAAGAGCTTCTTAAATATAAGTAAGATAATAGTCCTGTTTTAGTCTTTCTCCTGGTGGTTGTGATGGGCATTTAAGCAGGGTATACTAAAAACAAGTCTGCTGTACATGCTATAGGTGGAGATTTTTTCATCTGGAGTAAGATTTTATTTGAATATGTTATATAACATTTTCCTACACACAGGCACTGATTTTAATTTTTGGAAAAGATGTGCCATTCTTTGTACAAATGCATTAATTTAAAAGCAATTATCATTTTTGGCTGAAAGTCACTTTGTTAATTGTGTGATTAGTGGACATAAATTATAGTGCATCATTACTTAATGTTCAATTTTTAAGGCATATTAAAATTATTTGATTAATGAAATGAGTTGTTGAAGGGATGTGGGGGGGGGACAAATGTGATCAACTTCAAAAGTAATTGGTATTGGTACAAATGTTTGCCCTTCTAAAATAGACAATTTGGCAAATGTCCGCTTTAAGAAAAGGGGGATGTCAGAGGGGGCATTTGTTCATCGAGGTAGGTGGGTGGAATTGTGCACCGTAGATCAAAATTGAAAATAAAAACACAGTTGATTTATATCAACAACTTATTTCATTAAAATAATCTTGTAAATATGCAATGGTTATTGAAATTTAGGCAGAAATGCAAAAAGACGATTTTGCTTGAAATTTACAAAAACAGTCATAAAAATATGGACATTGAAAGTTGCTTATATTTGAAAAAATAAATGTGATACATGTACTTTCTAGAAGAGAATGAATGAAAGTACAGAAAAACTGTTAGGCGTCCATTATTTAAGGCCTGAGATCCTTGATAGGAACAATGTCTCCAGCCAGTAGATGATCTCTTATGAATTTTACATGTAGGTTGTTTGGTCAAAAGTCAAGGTCAAAAGTCAAGGTCACAGTGACATTTATAAAATCATTTTCCAATCAGTTACTTGCTGGAAAACCTTTTTAAAACTTGGTTAGTTCATTGACCAAGGCTAGTTCATGGCATTTATTGACTTGTGGCCATTAGGTCAAAGATCACAGCAACACTTTTATGGTCAATAACTTGAGAAAGTATCAGCCTAAAGTTGTTAAACATTGCAGGGATATTGCCCGTGGCCAGTATATGATACCAGATTATTTTGAGGATTGAGTGGCTGTTGTTTTTGTCTTGATTATAATAATGAAAATACAGTGTAACAGAATGTCAAAGAAAACAATTAATATACAATCTGTCACTGTCACTACTAATTTTGCCATTTCCCCACTATTTACCAGGATTTTGCTGTATATTCAACATATGTAATTCCAT